ATAATAATAATAATACATTATACATTGAATTAGCAAAATCATCAAGCAACCTATTTTATCCAACAAATCACCAAATCTCTTAAATCAAATAAGTACTTTAGCAGTGCTAATTTTGTATGCATGTAATCACAAAATAAAATATTTGTTCAGTATTTGTACAGTCTCACATAAAACCTTAAAAATAAAGCTATTAATCAGACTTGATCATATGACGAGTTCTCCATTATACATTATATATAGTTCAACAGTACATCCTGATTTAAACCATCAGATAAATAGATACATAATTAAGACAAAAGCTATAAATTAATGCTTTATCTTACCTATATATAGCTTAGCTAGCTAACATAAAGAAGATATTAAAAATACATGTAGTTTTTAGCTCGACTATTCGATAAGAATAAGTAGAGCTATTGCAGTCACCCGAGCGTCGGCGTCCGCGTCCGCGTCGGCGTAACCACTTATGTTAAAGTTTTTGTAATAGTTCAAATATTTTCAAAGTCCATTGACATATGGCTTTGAAACTTTGCACACTTGTTCACCATCATGACCCCAACCTGTAGACAGGAGGAGGTAACTCTATCAAGCATTTTGACAGAATTATGCCCCTTTTTCGACTTAGAATTTACGTTAAAGTTTTTGTAATAGTTCAAATATTTTCAAAGTCCATTGACATATGGCTTTGAAACTTTGCACACTTGTTCAACATCATGACCCCAACCTGTAGACAGCAGGAGGTAACTCTATTAAGCATTTTGACAGAATTATGCCCCTTTTTAGCTCGACTATTCGATAAGAATAAGTAGAGCTATTGTAGTCACCCGAGCGTCGGCGTCGGCGTAACCACTTATGTTAAAGTTTTTGTAATAGTTCAAATATTTTCAAAGTTCATTGACATATGGCTTTGAAACTTTGCACACTTGTTCACCATCATGACCCCAACCTGTAGACAGGAGGAGGTAACTGTATCAAGCATTTTGACAGAATTATGCCCCTTTTTCGACTTAGAATTTACGTTAAAGTTTTTGTAATAGTTCAAATATTTTCAAAGTCCATTGACATATGGCTTTGAAACTTGGCACACTTGTTCACCATCATGACACCAACCTGTAGACAGGAGGAGGTAACTCTATCAAGCATTTTGACAGAATTATGCCCTTTTTTCGACTTAGAATTTACGTTAAAGTTTTTGTAATAGTTCAAATATTTTCAAAGTCCATTGACATATGGCTTTGAAACTTTGCACACTTGTTCACCATCATGACCCCAACCTGTAAACAGGAGTAGGTAACTGTATCAAGCATTTTGACAGAATTATGCCCTTTTTTCGACTTAGAATTTACGTTAAAGTTTTTGTAATAGTTCAGATATTTTCAAAGTCCATTGACATATGGCTTTGAAACTTAACACACTTGTTCACCATCATGACCCCAACCTGTAGACAGGAGGAGGTAACTCTATCAAGCATTTTGACAGAATTATTCCCCTTTTTCGACTTAGAATTTACGTTAAAGTTTTTGTTATAGTTCAAATATTTTCAAAGTCCATTGACATATGGCTTTGAAACTTTGCACACTTGTTCACCATCATGACCCCAACCTGTAAACAGGAGTAGGTAACTGTATCAAGCATTATTTTTTACTATCAAGCACTAGAATAGTCGAGCGTTGCTGTCCTACCGACAGCTCTTGTTTGACTTAGAATTTACGTTAAAGTTTTTGTAATAGTTCAAATATTTTCAAAGTCCATTGACATATGGCTTCTTTGAAACTTTGCACACTTGTTCAACATCATGACCCCAACCTGTAGACAGCAGGAGGTAACTCTATTAAGCATTTTGACAGAATTATGCCCCTTTTTCGACTTAGAATTTACGTTAAAGTTTTTGTAATAGTTCAAATATTTTCAAAGTCCATTGACATATGGCTTTGAAACTTTGCACACTTGTTCAACATCATGACCCCAACCTGTAAACAGGAGGAGGTAACTCTATCAAGCATTTTGACAGAATTATGCCCCTTTTTCGACTTAGAATTTACGTTAAAGTTTTTGTAATAGTTCAAATATTTTCAAAGTCCATTGACATATGGCTTTGAAACTTTGCACACTTGTTCACCATCATGACCCCAACCTGTAAACAGGAGGAGGTAACTGTATCAGGCATTTTTTTTACTATCAAGCACTAAGAATAGTCGAGCGTTGCTGTCCTACCGACAGCTCTTGTTTGAATATATTGTTTATTTGACTGTTTTTCTGAGTCAAGATATGGAAAATATTGGATTCCCTACCCAGCTGTAAAACTTTATTGGACTGACACTGAATGGCTATAGTTCAATATAGATTGTCCAGCTGTGTATTTATCCAAAGATTTCTCAATATTATATGAACTGCGTCACGACAAAACCAACATAATGGGTTTTTCGACCAGCATGGATTCAGACCAGCCTTCGCTCTCAGTTTCTCTACTTGTTATAGGGTCTGTAAGCGAACAGCATGGATCCTGATCAGACTGCGCGGATGCGCAGGGTGGTCTGGATCCATGCTGGTCGCAAACACATTATGTTTTGGTTTTTCATGACGCGGCTCATATAAAGAATACTGGCTTTCAACTTTCTTAGACCTAATAACTTTTGTGTAGGAGATATTTTATAAAATTCTTAAACTGTCCATTTTAAAGTCATTTTTTAACAAATGTCTTTTTAAATGGCAAGTAAATCAAGAGAAGAAGAGATTACACATGTAAAACATTAGGACGGTTTGTACCTGGTTTATTCAAGGATCTACAAAAATATCTTTTTATTCAGGTTTCTCAAAAACAGCAACTATAGTCAGAGCCATAATATTTCATTATAAGTATCAGAACATTACTGTAGAACCAACCTTTAGAAGTTAAACTTTTCATTGCTATTCCACTCCTGTCTTCTTCATAAAGACATCAAATTCTTGTTTTCTGCTTTTATTGTCTTACATGAAAAGTTTTTAGATTCTGATGAATTGTTGTTTTTCATGACAAGACAGAAATATTTCTCTTTGTTCTAAACATTTTGTCATTTATAGGAACATTCAAGAATTTGATTTATATTTTCTTGCATAATATTTCAGTAAGGTTTACTGACTTTTAAAATAAGAAATTCAATATCATGTTATATTAGGCCAAACAATGAAAATGTTATGTTTGTTGTTGACTTCCTGGCTTAAACTCTGGCTGATATTTTGTCACCAACACCACCCATTTGATTACATGAATATGTTGTGTTTTTTTTTTTTCTCAAAAATATGATTTTTTATTAAAAGCCAAGTAAAACAAAAACTAAAATATCAGATAATCTATTCCACTAAGACAGATGATATTATAATACAAAATGAATGGAACTGCATTAGGGTTTTTTTTTTTTCAGGAAATATTTTATGTAACATAAAGTCAAATTCTTTGTCTCTGTTTTTAGCTCATCTGAGCACAGAATGCTTTGGTGGCACTTTGACCTTTACATACACTGATATCTATTATATAATAGAAAACATGTTTTTAAAAATTTCTTGTGTGAAACTTGACTTATTACATAATGTGAGTACTGTTGGGAAAAGGCGTAAATTGAAACAAACAAACAAACATAATGTGAGCCTAAAATTTTTTGTTTTGTATCAGGAGCCATATGAAATGCTACAGCAAAATTTTAAAATCATTGTTTTGGACTTAAAAATGGCTTTGCCTTTAGAAAACTGTCTTTAAATCTTGTCGTCTAAAATTACAATGTTCAGAGCTTAGGTATTTAACATGAAAAGTCACCTTGTGGCCTTCAACTTATTAGTTATCCTTGGGGTCAAATTTGACTCTAAATTAAAAGAGATTTACAGTTTAGATATTCAGCTTGCAGCATTGACTAGTGGACTTATCTCAAGTTGTATGAATCAAGACCCTAATATATTGCTAAAAAATACCGCTCCTTAAAATTGTGACCAAGTAAAATACTTTTGCATTCAAAAATTTATAACCTTTTCTAGTAAAGGATCTCAGTGAGTGATAAATATCCATTATGGCTTTCTTGTTATTTGAACAGAAACTATGTCATAGAGATTGTTTAGCCGTAACTGTAAAGTGAATTAAGATTTCATTGTCTGCACACTTGAAGCAGACAATTTCAACCTGGTGATACAAAATACAAAATCAATAATATATTTTATGCCATAGATATATACTGTTAAAATTATCTGACAAAATGACAAATCCAGAAAATCTACTTGACAATTGACAAATTTACTGAGGTGATATAGAATAACTGAGCAATTTTAAATATTTTAGAAACTTTTTTGTTTTAATTTTATTGGCTCTGACAAATTATTTGTTTCAACCCAGAGAGTTTTTAAGTTAAAAATCAATTCATTTTTACACATTGATGCCTTTAGCAAAATTGTTAAAATTGCTTTAATTCCTTTAATGGAAGGTTATGGTATTTATACATCATAAAAGAGAGGGTATTAAGAGTAAAATGGCAATAATTCTTAGTGACCTTGATCATTTCTTCAAGGTCAGAATCACATGCATCTAGATTCTGGCTTTTTTTAAAAGGAATGTTAAATAGCTCAGTAGTGATTTTTGTTATGGATTGTTGTCAAGCTGTTCAGATTGTGACTTTGTGAAAAAGGTATTGAAAAGAGGAAAAAGTTATACACAGAATATTTCCACAAATCTTGAAAAGGTCAGATCACACAAGAGCAATGAAAAAAAAGCAAATAGTTGACAATTGCAGACCTTAGAGACTTTCAATACTGCCTTACTGAATTATAGAACATTGGATAACACTGTTGTTTAACAAAATAGAAAAAAAAAGCAGATTTGAAATAATTTTACTGTTGTTTTTCAACAGTTACAGATATCAAGAACTTTGCATTATGTATAGATCGATACATTATTATATTGTTTCAGTCAATAAGAGATGCATGGTATGTGGTATAACTTTTTCTGTTTTAAAATATATATCTAACCAAGATTTTCATTTTAGGTTTCTTATATATGAGTCCATTTCTCCACAAATTTTTGACTGCCACACAATATATAGCTCCTCTTATGGCAAATTTTGACACAAAATCTGGAGGGCGTTCATCTACTGTAATATACAAAAATGTTGGTAAGTAAACCTGATTTTTTTATATGAGAATAAAGCTGTTGCTGAATATGTGCCACTTCTGAGAAAATAACTCTTTTGAGGAAATAGATGGGTTTTTTTTTTCTCAAAGAAAATTAGATCAACAAATTTGTTATATTTAGAAAGATAATTGCTGATCATTAATATTTAACAAACTATATTAGAAAAAAATATATATATAGGAAAAGATTTTCCTATTTGTTTTACATTTTTATATTGATTTAAAACAAATTCACATAACCATTCAATGCCAAACTGTTGTAGCATATTATGACATTCAATAAAATGTTACAACATTTTTGCAAGGAGCACTTAGATTATGAAATATCACAGATTTGTGTAAATATGAAGAATAATAATTATTCTTGTATATAAGCTTACAATGAATTGTATATAACTCTATTTCCTCGGGGGATTTATTTTCTCTCTGAAAGTGTTCGCTAGAGGCAACAGCATTTATATAATAAGATTCATGCATTTAAATAATGAGTGTTCTATTTTAGGTTTCCTGTATATGAGCCCATTTTTACACCAATGGCTTACGGCAACTCAGTATATCGCGCCATTAATGGCAAACTTTGATACGAAAATTGGAAATAGCTCAGAAATAATGTTTTCGAACGTGGGTGAGTCGAGCACTTCACCAGTGTGTGTAACGTAACAATTGTAGTAACCTCCCTTTTTCTTTCTTCAGTTTGTGTATGTAATTACCTCCCTTTATTTACTCACAAATGGCTTGTCTTCAAATGAGTGTATTTATATTTGCTGTGACCTTTCTTAGAACAGAGTGCTTATATCATGTGTCTTTAACACCATTATAATGGTAATAATTGGCAAGACAAATTGACATTAACTGCTGTTCCTTGTGTATATGGAATGTAACTATCCAATTAAAGTGAACTAAACTATTCAGTTAAAATGATAATAACTTTTCAATTAGAGTAGAATAAAAGTATACAGTTCAAGAGATAATAAGTATTTAATTGAAAAGAATTACATATTCAGAGAGACAATAAACTAAACTAAACTATTCAATAAAAAAAGTATAACTCAGTTCAGTTACAGAGAGTATAACTAGCACTGTGGCATTACATAGCTGTTTGAGGGATAAAATTTTGGCATGAAATATTTAAATGTTATATTTTACAGAAAACTCTCAATAAATATGAATTACTTGTTTTAAAATGCCAAATTTTAAAAACAACTATGTGAATATTTAGATACAAAACATGAATAGTTTTTTCAACTTAAAAAATGCTTGCCTAATTTTTACAAAGGTTAAAGACATGTTGATATGCATTCTGTATGACTTCATAGCATTTTCTTTATTGCTTCATATATTGATATTGTAGCTCTTTTTTAATAAGCAGATATCTTTCCTTCAAAGTTTTACTGTAAGAGGAAAAATGCATCTCTTCAAAGAAACAAATATGTAAATTTTACCAAAAGTTTATCAACTGTATAAATGTTATAAAAGTGTTTATGCATTTTAATTTTTCTTATGATATTCTCTTTATAATAATGTAATTATAGAGAATATAAAACTATTCAGTTAAAAAGTACTAGTAATTTATTGCTTTAATGCTTAGATAATGTGTCTGTAACTTTCACTTCAAGGACTTTCAAAATTGAACGTATCTTATTGTTTTCTTTTGTCACAATTTTTATGCTTCTTAAATTTTATCAGATTTAAGTATAACCTTTATCATTTATTATTTTCTTAGAAAAAAAAGCATTTTTATCTTTACAGTAGACCTATTAATGTATATTCTTTTTCAACTTTATTTAGATGTTTTTCACATAGCTTCCAAAATGCCTCATTCACAATATTTTGATCAATAAAAATACATGTATTAAAATTTAGACAATGCAGGAGTTTTCTCAAGATTTTTTCAAGCTTTTTAAGACAGCAGTCAGAACTCATGTCCATTTGCAAACCATTTTATCCATCAATTTAAAACTGTATAGATTGCCACCCATGCAATACTTGATAAGCTAGATTGCTCTTTTATTAATGTTATTTTTGATATTGCAGTCATTCATACTATGACAACCACCAACAAATGGACAATGTCATTGACTTTAATGCACTTGCCCATCTCTGCTGTAGGTTTAGTAATCAAGTCAGGAACTTTGTTTTAGGGCATCCACCAACAAATGGTAAAGGTCATTGACCTTAATGCACTTGCCCATCTCTGCTGTAGGTTTAGTAATCAAGTCAGGAACTTTGTTTTAGGGCATCCACCAACAAATGGTTAAGATCATTGACCTTAATGCACTTGCCCATCTCTGCTGTATGTTTAGTAATCATGTCAGGAACTTTATTTTAGGGAATCCACCAACAAATGGTTAAGGTCATTGACCTTAATGCACTTGCCCATCTCTGCTGTAAGTTTAGTAATCAAGTCAGGAACTTTGTTTTAGGGAATCCACCAACAAATGGTTAAGATCATTGACCTTAATGCACTTGCCCATCTCTGCTGTAAGTTTAGTAATCAAGTCAGGAACTTTGTTTTAGGGCATCCACCAACAAATGGTTAAGATCATTGACCTTAATGCACTTGCCCATCTCTGCTGTAGGTTTAGTAATCATGTCAGGAACTTTATTTTAGGGAATCCACCAACAAATGGTTAAGGTCACTGACCTTATGCATGCACTCTGCTGTAGCCCATCTCTGCTGTAATCATTACCTAATGTTAGTTATCAAGTCAGGAACTTTGTTTTAGGGCATCCACCAACAAATGGTTAAGATCATTGACCTCACTGACCTTAATGCACTTAAGCCTTGCCCCATCTCTGCTGTAAGTTTAGTAATCATGTCCCGTCAGGAACTTTGTTTTAGGGAATCCAACCAACAAATGGTTAAGGTCATGACCTTAATGCACACTTGCCCATCTCTGCCCCACTTGCCCATCTCTGCTGTAAGTTTAGTAATCATGTCAGGAACTTTGTTTTAGGGCATCCACCAACAAATGGTTAAGGTCACTGACCTTAATGCACTAGCCCATCTCTGCTGTAAGTTTAGTAATCCCGTCAGGAACTTTGTTTTAGGGCATCCACCAACAAATGGTTAAGGTCACTGACCTTAATGCACTAGCCCATCTCTGCTGTAAGTTTAGTAATCCCGTCAGGAACTTTGTTTTAGGGCATCCACCAACAAATGGTTAAGGTCACTGACCTTAATGCACTTGCCCATCTCTGCTGTAAGTTAAGTAATCCCGTCAGGAACTTTGTTTTAGGGAATCCACCAACAAATGGTTAGGTTCACTAACCTTAATGCACTTGCCCATCTCTGCTGTAAGTTAAGTAATCCCGTCAGGAACTTTGTTTTAGGGAATCCACCAACAAATGGTTAAGTTCACTGACCTTAATGCACTTGCCCATCTGTGCTGTAGGTTTAGTAATCAAGTTAGGAACTTTGTTTTAGGGCAGCCACCATCAAATGGTTAAGGTCACTGACCTTATAATGCACTTGCCCATCTCTGCTGTAAGTTTAGTAATCATGTCAGGAACTTTGTTTTAGGGAATCCACCAACAAATGGTTAAGGTCACTGACCTTAATGCTCTTGTCCATCTCTGCTGTATGTTTAGTAATCCCGTCAGGAACTTTGTTTTGGGGCATCCACCAAGAAATGGATAAGGTCACTGACCTTAATGCTCTTGTCCATCTCTGCTGTATGTTTAGTCATCCCGTCAGGAACTTTGTTTTAGGGCATCCACCAACAAATGGTTTAGGTCACTGACCTTAATGCACTTGCCCATCTCTGCTGTAAGTTTAGTAATCCCGTCAGGAACTTTGTTTTAGGGAATCCACCAAAAAATGGTTAACGTCACTGACCTTATAATGCACTTGCCCATCTCTGCTGTAAGTTTAGTTATCAAGTCAGGAACTTTGTTTTAGGGCAGCCACCAACAAATGGTTAAGGTCATTGACCTTAATGCACTTGCTCATCTGTGCTGTAGGTTAAGTAATCAAGTCAGGAACTTTGTTTTTAATGTGCATTCACCTAGCTGCATATGGAAGGTTGGTGATTCTACTCAGACCCTTTTGTGGCTGAAATAATTCAGGGAGGGGTACCTGAGGACATGTTCCCGTTATGTGACCTATTAATATTGGTGGGCCTCCACAAAAAAACTGAACATTACAGATTGGCTTTATGATTATGATGCTGCAAACAAACATTCACAAATACCCAAACTATGATTCTTTAACTAAAACAACAATTTCCAATTTATAGCCAAATGTGTTCAATAAGAAAATTACCTTTTCTGGTATGAACATTGTAAATGGAGCGATTAAACTTGTAGCATCTCGAGATTCCATAGGGAAAACAGACACAAGTATATATTCATCATTATAGAGGGATTAGTAAACTGAGGTCAGATAGGAATACTGTGAAAGAGGCATTCTGAGAAATTCTCATTGATTCTTTACCTCTGTTTTCTTTCAATTATTTTTCCTAGACATTTAACTGATGTTATGCCAGCTAAATTTCTTACTAGGTTTCACACGACAATTTTTTTATTTGCATATCATTCTGTAGCATATACTTATTTATATACAAGGTGACACTATTTGTAATTTTGTTGAATTATACAAGAAATATAAAATCTTATTAAGCTGATTTAATAAAGGAACAAATAATATTTCAAAATTGTAGTAGAATATTTTATGAAAATTAATTACAAATAAAATGTGTAGTATTATTAAATGTAACAAAGTAATAAGTAAATTGCATTGTCAAATTTTTATCTTAAATGTTTGAATTTTTCACATATATTTCTACCAAATGATTGAATTCTAGGAATGTATTTAGTTTGGCATACAAGCTGGACCATATAAGCCAATCACATTGTCTGTAAGATAAGCTTGGTCTTTATTTTATTTAACATCAACATTTTATGTCTAAGTCTTGAAATTTCATATTTTCTGTAATATGAAGTTAATTTGTCAAACATAATAAGTGATCTTAATATTTTAATTCAATTAGGCACTGCTTAATAGAGTATTGATAGACAATTAAAAACAGGCTGTCATAATATTACAAATTATGTATTTAATATAAATATAGATTTTTTGTTTAGATAGAAAATTACAAAGATACTAATAATTCTAAATTTTTTAATAAACTTTGTTGTCAATTTTTTTTTTTTTTTTTTGCATTTTTTGAATGTTGTAAATTTTATTAAAGTTCCTTCAAACGTTAGACATGAAATAAAGTGTTGATAAAGATTCACCCAATTCTTAGAAATGAAATAGCTGTCAGTACACACTGTCGGGACTATCTGGTAAAACTTGGAAATCAATCAGTTTTAGGCTGACTGAGTGTTAAATAGTGTTTTTTACCCTTTCAAATTCTTATTTCGGTCTTCAGTTTTGTTTATATGTGTAATCAAGATATTACCACATTGATATCTGTTTCAAGTTTTACCCAAATATTTGGCTTTCAAGAACATGATTATTTCTACAAAAAAGACCAATGAAGATAAACCTTTCTTCAACTTTAATGAATCTCATCTTATCAGAGAAAAACAATGGTACCTTTTCAAAAGAAAAAAATGGGAAGAAGGTATGGTTTTAAACAATAAAAAAACTGAATACTGTGAGTGTCTTAAAATTAAGTAAATCATATAAGTCAGCCAGATGGTCCCGGAAATTATATAATTAGATAGTTTCCTTCCTTTCTTTTCTTCTCTTTGTCTTCATTAAACTTGTTATGAATATATGAATATTAATTCAGAATCACCATATTATAACCTTATTATGATTCTAAGCAGTATATACAATAGAAAAATAGATTATGATCATCACCAAGTATATTTTGCTTATTTTTGTGCAAGTTGTTTGTATGCATTTATAGCAGCAATAATGTTTGCTTTATAAGGCATTAACGAATTATGTCTGTTTCTGGTGTCCCTTCAGTACCTTTTCATAAACAGTCTGGCAGATTAGATTTTCTTTTTTCTTACCCAAAATTTTAGCACTATATGGGAATTGCTGGGAAGTAATTGGCCAAATACGGCTGGGTTTATAAGGACACTTTAAATATAATCATAATTATTTGTGGTTCGATCCCCGGAAGATGCTTTGGTAGTTTAGCACGGAGGAAGGTAGTCTAGTACTGGTGTAACTCTCCAGGAACAACGGTTAGGAAACTACCCGCCTATATGACTGAAATACTGTTGGAAAAAGGCGTAAAATGACACAAACAAACAAACAAAATAATTATTTGTGTCATACTGCAATGGTTTTGAGTCTCACCTAGGAAATAGGGGAAGGCTATGCCATGAGGATACAATTGGTATGATGTTCTACTCCGGTATCGGATTGGTTTCTGAAATTGTAAATTAGCCTGGGTAGAATAGAGCAGAAGGTCTCCAAAATGACCTTTATAGTGTTAACCCTTAATATAATAACATCATATAAATTCTTTCTGGCATATAATATCAGCTATAAGTGACTTTTCTAATTTGACTTGTCCATATTTCAATCTGTATAAAACCGTTTATAAATTTAAAAAATTTGAATTTGATTTCTACTGAATAAAGAACATTGCAGACCATGATCAGACAGTACAGATGTGCTGTCCTGAGTCTTGGTCTGCACTGGTGGCATGGGTAGATAAAGTTGCTGCCAGCAGGGTAAGGGTTAGAACCGGGCGTCCCAAATACAAACTCGTTCATAAATTACATTGTCAGTGTGCCTTATAACCAAACCAACCAAAAAGTGAATAAGACAAAGCATTAATAAAAAATGTGCAATACGTGACCTGCATTTTAATGATTTATATGAAATGTATCTATTAATATGCAATTAAGTGTTTCCCATTTTAAACCCAGAAACAGACATAATTGTTTTTTAACTTTGTGAATAATGATTTAAAATGTATGATGTGTTTTGCTGTGATTAACATAATTAATCATTTATTCAAACATGCAGAAGCAATCTTAGATTTGTCATAATATTACGATCATCGTTAAGACGCCTAGCTGTATACGGGAAAATTTTGTCAGTGTTTTAAAAACTGCCATCTGTTATCAAATTAATATGCTATAACAGTATTCATTTTGAATTTCCATATTAGGTAATTCAACTTGCATGTAGTTGAAATTGCATCAAAAAGCTAAAATTATTGTCATTTGTATTGAAGACATATTTATATTTTCTGATGATATAAATAAAGATCTGCTTCTGGATAGTTGGCTAAATGCTGTGGAATAGGCCACCTAACATTTCAAGAATTTTTTTTACCTTTTTCTCAAAATTTTTTTTAGACAGAGGTATTATTATAAGACTTTAGTGAGCTTGAGAAATCGATTGATTAATTTAATAATTATTTTAGAATATCTTTTGACCAAGTCTTTGCCTTTATTTCATTTTGTCATAATTTAAGAAAAATAAATAGCTTAAAAAATTGATAGATAATAAAGAATAATACCAAAAGATACTTTGTGAATATTTTTGTCACATAAGACAACAGCCCGTTAGTTATTTTTATGATAGGTTAAACCATTAAAGTTATTTTTAAAAATGGTCACTAAGTTATTTTTAAAATGGTCACTATTCCACAGCTTAAATTTTAACTCACTTCATATGAAAAAGCAAAGTTTAATTACAACAAAGCATTCCATGCTGTACACAATTATTCTATTTCTGCATTCTTTAGATTGTTTTAACTTTTTTTTTTTTTCAAAATAATTCTTACAGTTTTTCGTAAAGGTAAATTAATTGATAATGTTTGTAACTATATAACATGTATAATACATGCATTGTTTTACAGACCAAAAATTTGTTGTTGAATGGCGTGACGTACATCTAAAGGACCAAAACGGTAGGTCGGATGAAGGTACAGAATTTTCTTATATCATACTTTGAATGTCATTGTGAATGTCCCAGTATTAATTACGCTACTTTCTGACATTTTAAAATGATAACTTACTACCTATGAATGAAATAAATTCTAGATGAGTCGCTTGAATCTCTTGTTTGATAAAACAGATATATATAATTTCTATCGAGCCAGTCTTTAAAGACCAGCTTTTTAGAAAAAGGTCCCTGTTGAAGATGGTCTCTCAATAAAGGTATTTTAGATCATCGATTGATTGAAAAATATATGCATTAATTGCCATCCGTTAGTGACTATTTGTGGTCATTATTGGTTGATGCTTTGAAGCACAATTTCCCTTGCACATATCTTACGGAGACTTAAGAAAAACTAGTGAACAGAAATATGGGTAATGTTAAAAATTCGGTCTGCTGTAATGGCCCCCTTTTCTTCGTTACCTACACAAACAGACAACCCATTTACCTCAAATCGATTGTTAAATGTTTATTGTCCTGACTTTGTTCAGAAGACAATTGTCAACTAAGTTTCTGAGATTTCGGTCAAAACTTTATAGAAGTTGTTGGGCCAACAGTATCAAGCCTGTTTAGATAGTACTGATAATTCTTGCTGGCCTGAATGCATTAATATTGTCGGTTTCAGTGTCAAAATTGAGTGAATCAGTCTCTTTGTTTACTTAATGTACATACAATTATGACATGTTTTGAGGACTAGCGTGATTTTGTTAAATGTATTATTGTGGTTAGAGGGAAATAATAATTTATATTGCTGTTGTATAGAAATAAAAACATCTTATGCGTAAATAAAAACAATTTACAATCATCAAACAATGAGGTTGGTAAACATGTATTGTAAATACTTTAATTCAGTTCAATGTTTGTGAACAACTCAAATTGTACTCTTCAATTGAAATTAAATGTACATTTATTGGAAGCAAAGTATTGTTGAATATTGTGTAGATAAATACATTGACAGGAGAACATTTGTTTAAGCCTTCATTGATCAATCATAGTTGGTGATTTATCTAATTGGTTCAAGTCTTTGTAGATCAATCCTAGTTTGTTCAAGCCTTTGTAGATCAATCCTAGTTTGTTCAAGCCTTTGTTGATCAATCCTAGTTTGTTCAAGCCTTTGTTGATCAATTCTAGTTTGTTTAAGCCATTCTTGATCAATCCTAGTTTGTTCAAGCCTAATTGTTGATCAATCCTATTTGGTCCTAGTTGGTTCAGCCTTTGTTGTTCAACCCTAAAGTAAATCCAAGTCTTTGTTGATCAACCCTAGTTGGTTCAAGCATTTGTTGATCAACTCTAAGTTTTTTCAAGCATTTGATGATCAAGCCTAGTTTGTTCAAGCCTTTGTTGATCAAAACTAGTTGGTTCAAGCCTTTTTTGATCAAAACTAGTTGGTTCAAGCCTTTGTTGATCAACTCTAAGTTGGTTCAAGCCTTTGTTGATCAAGCCTAGTTTGTTCAAGCTTTTGTTGATTAAGCCTAGTTGGTTCAAGCCTTTGTTGATCAAAACTAGTTGGTTCAAGCCTTTGTTGATCAAAACTAGTTTGTTCAAGCCTTTGTTCAAGCCTTTGTTGATGGAAACTAGTTGGTTCAAGCCTTTGTTGATCAAGCCTAGTTGGTTCAATCCATTTGTTGATCAAAAATAGTTGGTTCAAGCCTTTGTTGATCAAAACTAGTTGGTTTAATTTAATTTATTGATCACTTCAAGTTTGTGAAAGCCTTTGTTGATCAACCTTAGTTGGTTCCTTTAACATTTGTTGATCATCCCTTAAGTTGGTTAAAAAACTTAAAACCTTTGTTTTCCAACCCTTAGATGATAGATTACTTGGTTCACAAATGGAAGGTTAACGTTATTGCAGTTTTAGTCATAATGAAGATAATAAGAATACATAAAAGTTTAACCTACAGGCATTTTCTGTTTCTTGAAGTGGCAATCAATTTCTTCTGCATCATCAAGTTTTCAATTTTCTTTTATAAGAAAAAAAGTTAAAGAAAGACAGTTTTCCTGGTATTTTTTGCTTGTTTGGAGAACTACCAATTAGGCTATGTTAATTTCTTTCCATATTGACTTTTCTTAAAGAATGTTACGAGAAACAATAAAAGTTTAATATTGAGAAAATCTTATAATTCTATATATTACTGTGTATAGTTTGTTTTTTCCCCGAGAAACTTATTTGCACATTGGAGTTTCTCTCTTGTTATCACACCAGATGGCATCAGTTGTTCTACATATAAATGCCTGTTGGTGCTTGATATGTTAATATGTGCATGGTGGGGTACACCAGAATTATAACAAATTACAGGTCAGCATCAGTACGAGTTTATCTTTTTCCTGGTGTTAGAATGTCCTGCTTTAACTTTAGAACTGTCCATTAATTGTCATTGTAAGGGATATCAAGATAATTATCTTAAAGGGACTCCACTGGGTTTTTTTTGACATGATGGAACTGGAAATTATGATTATTTGAGATTAATGTTCAATTTGATATAGATCCAGACCAATAACTTGCATGCAAGTCAAGTCTTTCACTTACTTATTTTTCCAGAATTTTTCTTCTAATTGTGAAAAACTACCCATAATCAAGCTAAGAATAGCTTTAAAATTTTGATTTTTAATCTGAGTAATTCTGAATTATCTTTTTTGCATAGCTTTCTGTTTTATGTGCCCCAGCTGGTTTATGTTAGAAATATAAGTTTATGTTTATGACTTTTGAATCTCAGTGGAGTTCCTTTAAGATGGTCAGCAAACAGTATAGAGTCAGGTCAGACTGGTGGCAAAGTGATATCACTTTAGGTTCCAGCAGTGGAAGGGTTAAATTGTGTCATTGAACAATAAATAAGACAAACATTTCTTTCATTTCCCATCTCAAATTTCCCCTTTTCATGCTAGCCAACTGGTTATGTGGCCTACAAACATTCAACTTGAAATTAAAAGACCACAAAATGCATCAGATCCACTGAGTGCTACAATTACGACACATGCCAATATGCCTAGCTTGAGGACTGTGCAATAAAAGGTGTTGTTAGGTTCTAGTACTATTCAAGACATATCCATTGACATTCTTCTCTCATAGCTTTTGAGGTTGAGAAATATGATTCAAAATTGATGGAGAGAACTATAATGATACGAATTGTTTCACAATCAAATGTATGTTCATTCCCGAGTATGTTCATTCCCTGCTATTACTACAACATCCCAAGCACACACATTTATGACCATCTTATTTCCTCCATGTTTTATTTTATTTTTATTTTTTGATAGAAAGGTGTACCTTTAACCTTTATTATCAATATTATTATTGTTGTTTACAGTGCACTTGCATATCCTGTATTATGTGTTGATAATAAATAAATTTAAAGACCAATCATTGCCTAAATTTTCTGGTGTTATTGAAGTCCAAAATGATTGTGTTTGACTTTATCGTGTTAAGAAAAAACAAGATGAGACTTGAGTTAGTCTTTGACCCTCCTTGATTTACAATATGAAATTTTGAATAGTTCCACATACCAGACTGTTAAATTTGACCAGTGAGATATAAATTGATATCTCTCACTGAATTTAGCTATCTGTTAAAATTTATTACTATTTAACTTGCAAGAAATTAAATGAAGTCCTGTTTATAAAGATATCTTCTTTATAAAGATTTCTAATGGCAAAAAATGATATATGCTGAACGCCTGTTAATTTTTGTTGTGTATCATATTTTAATTTTACAATATTAAAACACCTCTAAAACAAAGGTTGTGGTTGGTCTTTAAACAAATTATTTAAATTTTAATAAGCAATTCTCATTATAGTATTATTCATTTCAGACACTGGTTCATTCCGGTTTCAAGCAATTCTTCATCAAAATGGATCCATAGCCTTTGTTTACAAACAGGTAAATTTTCAAATTATTGTGCAGTATCATTTATCAGCGAGAGATTAAATTCAGTGAAAATCTGAAATGTTTTTGTATGAATTAATTTGCATAATTTGTCAATTCAGAATGATCTATTTTATGATATAAGTAAGAAAACAAATTGCACATGTATCAGAAATTGACAAAACAAAGAGATGATGTATTTTGATGATACAATTATAAAATTGCTGCATGATTTTGAGGTTTAATTTGTTTTTCAAGGTATTTATGTATACAGTTATTATACATACAGTCTAATTGATAGGTTTGTGTGATGCTCACCTTTAAAATAATGCTCATCTATTATTGTATTGTTTTATTATTTAATTGATTATTTTATAAATTAATTGATGATAAAGTTGAACATTAATCTTTCTTTCTATCCGTTGTCACAATTTCTTATCTTTCCTTATTATCACCTTAATTAATTGGCGTATATCTAAAACATTTAAGTAAGACATCAAATTTTGGATGGGCTATCACGTCTATGCTCTCTGACTTTAAAAATAGATGTTACTGATTTTCTGGTAAAGTGGGTGTAACTAAGAAAAGGAAAACAGTATGGTGTACAATGTTTGAAATTTTAATAGTCACTATGTTTTAGTTAGTTACTGCTTTACATGTACTTTTTAATGATCTTAAATTATCTGTTAAGATAGATCAATAGTAGAGCAACCAAATACCTGAATGTCATCTCTTGTTTCAGTATTGACATCCAAGTCACATGACCCTTGGGAGATGTACTGTACTTATTGGATTAGTTTAAACATTTTATCTACTATAAAGATCTACTCTAATGATTTAAAAGGTATTCTCAACTAACCTTGTTTTTGTTTTATTACAGCTAGATGGATGTCAGTTAAAGGAGATGCCAATGCTTTTAAAACGGGAAATTAAAAGAGCATCATTTCAGTTGAATTATTAAATATATTGTATTGTGTTTATCACTTGTGTTTCCATGGTAATAACTGGGTTGTTCTCTGATGAATTTTCAGCTTCCCATTCCAGTGACAAATATATCATCAAAGGCACACAAGGTGGCTGTGGGCATTGCTGATGCATTTTATTTTGATACAGTGTTGGACGATGGTATGGAAGACTGTTCACATGGAATCTGTAGCCAGTTTGATAAAATATGCTTAGCAAATAACTAATATAACATAACTAAATAAAGGCTGATCTTTTTTTTGTTGGTAATGATTAAATATGCCTTACTTTTTGTTCTGAAAGATGTTTCCAAAAGCAGCTTAAAATACCTGAACAACCTTCTTCAGACAATATAACACATTTCATACATGTGGAAATTAGAAATTGGAGTTTAAATATTCCTAACAAGAAAACACAATGAAAAACTAAATGCTTATAGAGAAATCAAGAAAGTTATTTATATTTCTGGCAGAGCAAAATTATATTGGCTGTTTTAGTTCTTTCAGAATATATTTTCAGTATATATTATATTTCAATTATTACAGTCAGATGTCTTTAGATGATTCCTACACATACAAAGTATCAGCCTTTATTGACTTCTTTAACAAACTCTTCAAACAACACTGAAACATAGCGCTAAAGTAAAAAAACTGTTATTTTGTATTCAGCTTTTAGGTTTAGGATACCGGTAAACGGCCATTGATTATTTGAGTGTATGATTGTAATTGCCAAGTTTAAAAAGCACTTAGTCATCAAGTTTGTGAACATTTTTAAGTCAAGTTTAGTCTAGAAAATTGCAAAATCTTGTTTCAGAAAATTAACTGGTTCCCCTGCGAAAGCATGTTCATCAATTCATGAATTTTCATGAACAGTTCATGAATATTCATGAACATCTTTCAATTGTTCATCATCTTGGCAGAAATGTTCATGAACAAATATTCATGAACATTCAAGTTCATGAATATGTATGTCTGTTCACGATCATGTTGATGTGTTCATGAACATTTTGGCATCATTCTTGCTCTGTTCATGAACATTTTGGTATGTTCATGAACAAGCTGACAATAATCATGAACTTTAAAAACAAATTTGTCTTTACAATTTTAACCCATGTGAATACTTTTTAGTGTTAGAAAAAATTTCAGTTCATGAACTCATGAACTGAAAAATTTCAGTTCATGAACTCTCATGAGTTCATGAACTCACTGATCGTCAACAAGAGTTGGCTGACCTTGGTAACACCCATAATGCAAAAGTCAACATGGCCGCCAGAAACAAAGCTCTACATGTGTTTTAACAAACTTTCGGTGCAAACTTACTTAAAAATGGAATAAATAACAATGACTTAGCAAAATGAAGAAAAAGTGATGTATTTACATAATGGACTATATAAAATCTTATGGAAAATTGTGTCAAAGAAATAAATTGAAGAGCAAACTGGCAAGTCGTGAATTCTAATGACAATTCAATTTGTACATAGGGAATCAATGAGCACAGTGTTTAACAAGTTTCATTACTTGTGTTATGGGCTTTTGTGTTTTGTATTTGTACTAAAACACTGTCTATTGTGCATTTTATGGCTGGTACAAATCAGCAGTCTTAGAATTGAATGAAAATTGATTGTGATGTCACATTATTATGACCCCTGGGAGAAGTTTTTGAATTGTTCGTGAACAAGTTCATGAACGTGCATGAACAACAAATGAGACTTTTTTTCTTTCATGGACAATTCATGAATCGATATATTCATGTACATGTTCATGAATATCTTGATTCATGAATTGTCCGTGAACGAAAAAAAGTCTCATTTGTTGTTCATGCACATTCATGAACTTGTCCATGAATATGTTCATGAACAGTTCATGAATTATTCATGGAATTCTCGCAGGGGTTATGTCATTGATAATCACATGTTCCACTAAAGTGTCAATGTGTGCAACAGGAAATAGAAGCATTAAGGGTTACTGAATTTTGTGTGTGGTTTCCAAAGCAATAAGTCATCATTGTTCTGAACATTTTTAAGTCAAGTATAGGAAATCACAACATGGTCTAGAAAATTTGGTTTCAGCATATTATCTGGTTATGTCATAGATGATATGTTAATCCACTAAGTTGTCCATTTTTAGTAGATGAAAAAAAATGACAGTGAAAGGTTAGTTAATATGGTCTTCCAAATACAAACTGGCTTTGAAACCATTAATTGACCCAGTTTAACTATGACAGTTACAATTGTATCTTAAAACTCAGTTGAAAAAAAAACCCAAAGCCTAGAACAAGAAAAACAGCTCCATAAAATCCAGGTTATTTCTGATTAAATCAGTCTTTGAAGCTTTACAAGTAGCTTTCCGAAAATTTATGATTTTTAGTTTAACTTTATTGCATGTGACCTGTGTCATGAAAATGCTTAAAGGAGAGAGTCCAAGGTATTCTTTCAGCATTAAAGCTGTAAATCTGTTTGAATGTGCATTATATCTGAACCAAATATTGACTCATGGGGTTGGGGGAATTATTTCATTTAATTTTTGTTGTCATTTTTAAATCTTTTTTTTTCTTTGGTTCAAATGATAAAAATGATGCTTTTGTGTTGAGTGTCGTTGAAGAGTTTGTGAAATAATTTCATTTTTTAGCTCACCTGTCACAAAGTGACGGTGAGCTTTTGTGATCGCTTTTCGTCCGGCGTCCGTCCGGCCGTCCGTCCGTCCATCCGTCCGTCCGTAAACTTTTACTTTAAATGACATCTCCTCATAAACCACTAAGCCAATTTCATCCAAACTTCACAGGAATGATCCTTTGGTGGTCACCTTTAAAAATTGTTCAAAGAATTTAATTCCATGCAGAACTCTGGTTGCCATGGCAACCGAAAGAAAAAACTTTAAATATCTTCTTTTAAAAAACCATAAGAGCTAGAGCTTAGATATTTTGCATGAAACATCTTCTAGTGAGTGTCTACCAAGTTTGTTCAAATAAAAGCCCTGGGGTCAAAATTGGCCCCGCCTGGGGGGGGTCATTGATTTTCCCTATATGCATATAGTAAAAACTTAAAAAATCTTCTTTTAAAGAACCCAAAGAGCTAGAGCTGAGATATTTAGCATGAAACATGTTCTAATGGGTGTCTACCAAGTTTGTTCAAATAAAAGCCCTGGGGTCAAAATTGGCCCCGCCCCATGGGGTCATTGATTTTCCCGATATGCATATAGTAAAAACTTAAAAAATCTTCTTTTAAAGAACTCAAAGAGCTATGGCTAAGATATTGAGCATCAAACATGTTCTAATAGGTGTCTACCAAGTTTGTTCAAATAAAAGCCCTGGGGTCAAAATTGGCCCCGCCCAGGGGGTCATTGATTTTCCCTATATGCATATAGTAAAAACTAAAAAAATCTTCTTTTAAAGAACCAAAAGAGTTAGAGCTAAGATATTTAGCATGAAACATGTTCTAATAAGTGTCTACCAAGTTTGTTCAAATAAAAGCCCTGGGGTCAAAATTGGCCCCGCCCCGGGGGGTCATTGATTTCCCTATATGGATATAGTAAAAACTTAAAAAATCTTCTTTTAAAGAACTTGAAGAGCTATGGCTAAGATATTTAGCATCAAACATGTTCTAATAGGTGTCTACCAAGGTTGTTCAAATAAAAGCCCTGGGGTCAAAATTGGCACGGCCCCGGGGGTCATTGATTTTCCTTATATGTGTATAGCAAAAACTTAAAAATCTTCTTTGAAAAAACCCAAATAGTTAGAGTTTAGATATTAAGCATGAAACATCTTCTAGTAAGTGTCTACAAAGTTTGTTCAAATAAAAGCCCTGGGGTCAAAACTGGCCCGGCCCCAGGGGTGTCGTTGTTTTTAACTATATGTGTATAGTAAAAACTTAAAAAAAATCTTCTTTTAAAAGGCCCAATGAGCTAGAGCTTAGATGTTTAGCATGAAACATCTTCTTATGGGTGTTTACCAAGTTTGTGCAAATAAAAGCCCTTGGGTTAAATTGGCCTTGCAACATTGGGGGGGGGGGGGGGGGGGGCCTATATACAGGTGAGCAACCTCAGGGCCATCATGGCCCTCTTGTTTCTTAATACTTTTATATTAATACAGAGTGATTTCTTTTAGCATTTTTCTATCATGCTTAGAGTGCAGTAGAGGACTGTTTAAACTTTTATACCTTTTTGACACTTTTAATAATTTTTAATTTGCTGTGTGAAGTTCTATGGTAGTTTCATTTATTCTGGGTTTTTCTATGTCATTTTATCTTTCATAGACAAGGTTTGATAAAATGAAAAAAACACATTTATCTTTTATTTTGTATATTTTTTCTTCAGTACTTCTTACTAATAATCCTTAATGTCCATTTGGTTCTTCTTTTTAAACATCTTTAAGATTGTAAACATTTGACAGATTTTTGACAGTTTTTATTGGTTCTTAGGTTGATTAATTTTTGGCCTAAATCCATGATAAGATTTGATCAAGTCATATTTGTTATTTATGTTCACTGTTTTCAGTCTTAAGACTTGTCACATTGTCATGTTTGGTAAAGTCTCAAACATTTGTTTTTCACCAAACCCTTCCATTACATGTATGCTCCATTTATCCATAGAACCTTAAAACAGATAACAGAAGGACTGTAATTTGCCTTTATGATATCCTTATCAAATATTCTGAAAGTTAAAGAAATTCCTTGCAAAGTACCGAATGCTCCATGAATTGCCAGAAGCTCCATAAATTGCCAAATGTTCCATAAATCCTTTTCCAACCCCTTGATAGATTAAACCAATTTATTATGTTGTTTTGTCATAAGCCAATTAAGCAAACTTAACAGTTTCTTTTCTAATGTTTTTTAAAAGAAACAAGCTGGTATATACAAATATATAGTTAGAATAATTGTTGTACATATAAACACATGTATACAATACATTTTCATTTCCATTACATATTTTTTTCATTTATTAAGGAATTTGTAAAACAATCATATCTTATTTGTTTCTGCAGACAATAAATGATACTTTTGCACACAGACTTTAACCAATTATATATCACAAATGTATTTTCAAATAATTGCTAATTATGCATGTTATCATGCCTTACAAATATTGCCTAGTGTTCTGTCCACATATTATCAAAACTATGTATCCCTTTGTAGCAGGTCCATGTTGCCTTGTATTTTATGTTGCCATATATTCTGTTATTGAATGTATTGTTGTTTTTATTGTGCTCTATCAATTTAAAAGACACTACTTTTTTATATGTTTTCTTTAAGAAAGGTCCATGGTCATGCTTTCATTGTGGTGTTCAAATCAGTTACACCTTCCTTTGTGCACTCCAAATTGAACATTCATATACATGGGTTTCTTCAAACAATATCCTTGTTGCCTTGTCCTGTAGAAATGATGCTATTGCTGCCATTTGATCTTTAATGATGTTCTTATTGCCATGTGTTTGCTAAACAATGATCTATTGCCATGCGTTCTCTTAATGATGTCCTTATTGTCATGTGTTCTAGAATTAATGTGTCTGCCGAATTATGCCATTGTTACCATGTATTCTCCAAATGGTTCCATTGTTGCTTTGTATTCTCCATATTATGATGCTCTATTGCTCTGTTATTGCAGATGTTGATCATGTGTTTCCCAACTGATGTCCAAAAGTTAAATGGTGTCCTAGAATTATGCCATGTGTTTCCCAAATGGTGTCTTGTTTTCATTTGTTTTTGACAATGATATTCATGATTTAATTCTATGCTATTTGTTTTCCATAATTATGTACTCTTGCATTTTGTCCTTCAGATGCCATGCATACTCCAACTCATGTCCCTCACAGTTGCCATGAGTTCTCCAAATAATTTCCTTATTGTTAATATGTTTTCTGAATGACATTGTTGCCATTTGTTCTTTTAATGATGTCTTTGCCTTATTAAAGTCTTTACATTTTCCACACCATCAAGATATGCCATTTGCATAGCAAATGATTACTATGTAAAGTGCCTTTTAATCTGATTGAATTTCTAAATTATATACATGTACACATACCTGTGTATACACTTGTGTGTCCTACAAGATCTCTTCCCTGCCTTTGTCCTCAGACTTAAGTTAACATTGTATTGTTATGGATGTCCAATGATGTTCTTGATGTAATCATAATCCAAAGTCATACATAGTTTAACATACGAAATGCATGGATTTAATATAATGTTTCAGTATGTCAAGTTCTTTACAATATACATGTATGAAACATTTTTGGCTTGATAATATGTTTGTTTATCACTTGCCATTCACAGTAGCCATTTTCCATTGCTTGAATTTTTAGCTGATATCCTCTCATAGTTATATATATACTAAAGTAGTCACTTAGAGAAGAGGGTTCAGAAAGTTCAAAAATGGATTATAGATTGTTAATTATTTTTTGATACTTGGATTTAAATAAGTGTACTAAAAACCAAAAATACTTCTGAATTCAATCTTTGCAGATATGATTTTTATAGCCGATAATCAATTTTTAGTTTATTTTTAAGGTTTTATTGCTATATAAATAGCATGATTGAAATTATGCTTGCTTTTTTCAAGAACTTTGTTACTAAAAATGGAATGTTACTATAAGAAATTATAATTCATGTGCTATGGATTATAATAAAATTATATTTTCTCCAAATGAAGAACTCTCTGAACCTTCTCTGTATTTACCTAAGTCATTGTCAGTTATATTACCATGCTACAGTTACAACAAGATTTTAACTTGCTTAACTTTCATGGCTGGGGACGAGTTATTATAAATAGAGCAGTTTTGCTCAAATAAAAATGTTCACCTCAACTTATTTAATTCAGCCCTTAAGACACAAAATGTCAAAAAGGGCATTTCATGATTTTTAACATTTTGTACTTGAAAATCTCCCATTTTTTTAAACACCAAAAGAATCCCCTTCATTAACATAAAGAAATTTATAATGTATGGTTATGATTTCAACTAGTTGAAAGTTTGTTGTGACTGAAGCATCATTAATAATTTAACAATTTTTTTTCAGTAGATGCTATTTCCTTGTTTACACAAAAAAAAAACAGATACACGACTTTATCAGTTTGTCACCAAATATAAATATAAAAATGCTTCTTACTCCAATATAATTGTCCTTGTCCATTCTCTGGACAGTATATACTCACCCAAGTTGCCGTGTTATATTTGCAGCTACCTATACCAATAGTGAATATAAGCTCCAGCGCACATCCTGTCAAGATTGGCCTGTCCGATGCTTTCTATTTTGATACAACAGCTTTTGGTATGAATTATATCCTCACTTTTGTGTATAATGTAAACCTAGTCCCGGAATGAAGATTGATAAAAAGTGTATCATGCTCTACTATCATGTACAAAATTTTGTATTCTCTTATTAATTGACTACTTGAGTATATTTTAGCCACTACACATATTACTCTGATATGTATTTCCACTTCTTGTATATTTGATCATAAGTCTGCATATTATTGTGAAAGTACCACAAATTAAACATAAAACTTATGTCCTTAAAGTCTATGAAAAATTGTCAGTTAAACCAATTGAATAAATTCTGACAGTGTTAGACAGATTTATCAGTGTATCTTTTATTTCAAATGTAGTTTCACTAATCTTGACTTCAGGAAACAAAATGCTCTTTTTAAAATTTCTTTTGGATTGTTTTGACAAAAAAATGCCTGTCTGTTTAATAGTTTCAAACTGTACTTTTTCCCCTGTCCTATCTATTAATTTCTGATGAAGTAGTTTTTATGATAAAAAAGAAAATTGTAACTACAAAGTCCTTCAGCTTTTGTTAGATAGTCTATGCTTACCTAACAAAATATTGTTGACTTATGACTGCAATTCAGTTACTTTTAGTATAAGAGTATTATTTTTTTAAATTACAAAAGAAAAGAGTGTGATAGATTGTGGGGGTTTATAATATTCTTTACACATATTCTTTCTTGTAACTCTTGTTTAATTTTTGATAAAACTCTATGGTGTGGTTTTCTACTTGGCTTATTTTGAATGTTAATACTTACCAACCAAATATAATTCTACAGTTGATTATAGTTTTGATTATCAGTGGTGTATGAATTAAATACATTTTTATGCCCCCACAGAGTGGGAGCATATAGCGTTGCACTTGTCCGTCCGAGTGTCCGTCCTTCAGTCCGTCCGTCCGTCAATCCGTCCGTACGTCCCGAAATCTTGTGAACGCAACTCCTCTTAAACCGGATGGCAGATTTTGCTTAAACTTACAAGGATGAACAACCTTAATGTGTAGATGGTAGTAAAGGAAGGAATTTTTGCTGCGACCAAATTTAACAGAATTATGGCCCTTTGTTGATTTTTTCACTATATACTATGTAGAAATTTTGTGAACGTAACTCCTCTTAAACCGCATGGCAGATTTTGCTTAAACTTACAAGGATGAACAACCTTAATGTGTAGATGGTAGTAAAGGAAGGAATTTTTGCTGCGACCAAATTTAACAGAATTATGGCCCTTTGTTGATTTTTTCACTATATACTATGTAGAAATTTTGTGAACGTAACTCCTTTTAAAACGCATGGCAGATTTTGCTTAAACTTACAAGGATGAACAACCTTAATGTGTAGATGGTAGTAAAGGAAGGAATTTTTGCTGCGACCAAATTTAACAGAATTATGGCCCTTTGTTGATTTTTTCACTATATACTATGTAGAAATTTTGTGAACGCAACTCCTCTTAAACCGCATGGCAGATTTTGCTTAAACTCACAGGGATGAACAACCTTAAGGTGAAGATGGTAGTAAAGGAAGGAATTTTCGCTGCGACCAAATTTTACAGAATTATGGCCCTTTGTTGATTTTTTCACTATATACTATATAGAAATTTTGTGAATGCAACTCCTCTTAAACCGGATGGCAGATTTTGCTTAAACTTCCAAGGATGAACAACCTTTATGTGTAGATGGCAGTAAAGGAAGGAATTTTTGCTGCGACCAAATTTAACAGAATTATGGCCCTTTGTTGTTTTTTTCATTATATACTATGTAGAAATTTTGTGAACGCAACTCCTCTTAAACCGGATGGCAGATTTTGCTTAAACTTCCAGGGATTAACAACCTTATGTGTAGATGGTAGTAAAGGTAGGAATTTTTGCTGCGACCAAATTTAACAGAATTATGGCCCTTTGTTGATTTTTAGTTTTCAACTTGTGGCACATGTAGTCCAAAAAATATTTGACCTAGAGTCATAAGATTGACAGAACAGTGGCGTGTGGGGGCATCCGTGTCCTATGGACACATTTCTAGTTTTAGCTGAAACACTTGTATTGAACTATTAATTCTTCAATGGCAAGAGCCTGTTTTTATTATTTCATATGTTTAGAATCCCCAGATTTCACATCCATATAATTATGTATATGATATTATGTGCATAATTTTTTTTCTTTGATATACTTCAAACTATTTCTATGCCCCAACTTAAAAATTTGGAACAATTTGGAACAATTTATTGCTGTAATGGATTTCCATTTGGTCTGTATAATGTTTCAGAAAAAAAATGTTTCTATTGTCATGCAATAAACATTTGATAAAAGTAAAAAAATAGCTTTAAAAATAGTGTGGTATTTCTTGTAAGAAGAATAAACATTTAAAATAAGACCAATGTTTCTCTGAAGAATGGTAGGTTTTTGAGTGCAGTTTTTTGTGGCACATTTTATAACATTTGTTGATTGTTTTGTTTATTTTATGTTACAGGGACAAAGAGAAGGACAATTTATGAATATCACAGAGTAGATCTGAATAGAACGTATATAGAAGAGGGCACTATTGTTTTAATGAATCCTCAGCCAAGTATGTATATATTAAACCTAAAAGTGCTGGAACTGAAAGCGTTAAGCCTTTGCCACCAGTATAGAGCCAGGCCAGCCTGCACATCCGTGCAGTCTGACCAGGCTCTATACTGTTGGCTGACAAACTTTAAATATTCAAATTTCTATCCCTAAAATTGATAATGGACAGTCTCAAAAAAATGGGAGTGGGATAAGTCCATTTAAAATATTCAGCATGTTAAAGGTTAGACTTTTGTTTGTTGCTGGCAATAATATTCTTCCCATACAAACAGTGCAGACCAAGATCAACACACAAATCTGTGACATCTTATCCTGATCTGCAATGTTTGCAATTCAATCAGTAAATGTTTTGAAATTTTCTTTTAAATAATAAATGTTTTAGTACAAATTGTAACATAGACAAGTCCATTTACGATATTTAGTAATGGTTAAAATGAAATGAATGCTCAAAGTATTTTTTTCTAAAAATACTTTAACCCATACAAGAATTTAACGTCTAACTTGCTGAACTTCATAAATGAACTTCAGTCTTACTTCCATTTTTGGAACTAACCTGAGTAACAATTTAAGGGATATCAAATGTTAAAGTTAAATGGTTCAAAGCTATATCAAATAAAATATTTTTTATAAAATGTTAAAAATGGTAAAAATATGTTGTTTCAATACCCTTATTGTTGGTTTAGGCAAGAGTTGTAATATAGAATGCCTGTGTTATACACATAAACAATGTACGCAATCAGAATAAAAAATGTTCTGGCTGCTTTTTCATAAAGGTTTTAAACTGTCCAGCTGAGATTTTGTGCACATGTCATTTACAAAAAGGACGTACACTGACAAGCAAGTATTTCTCTCATTCAGGCATTTTGGAGTTGTTCTTTTTCAAAATTCAAACAAAATTCAAACAAAAATTTTGTAAATTGTAGGTAGCAAAGATACACTTATACATTATTAGCAATGAAATATTGCAAGTCTGTTGATGAAAAATTGTTCCAGATTTATTTCAATACAGTGACAGATGTTACAGGTTATAATGGTTTAAGGTTTTGCATATGTAATCACTTGCCTCATGTCACATTGTGAACCTAGTAAATTTTTTATTAGATTAATAAAATTGACGCAAATTGTCAAGAGCCATTTTATTATTTGACTAAATTCAACATTGGTTTTAAAGATTCTGTAGACAGACAACTTCATTCAAGTAGTTGTTCCTACCAGAAATTATACAGTTTAGCACCGGGGGTTATGCTTGAAAGTAACTATAAACTGAACCATGTTGAAGTGATTTTAAACCAAATACCATATAGGTATAAATTTCTGACCAAAACTATGTTGGTGTGCCATAAAACAAAACATAACAAAAAAGGTATTGTACAATATAATAAGTTCATGTAAAGACAGGTTATATGGCTATATTTAAGTGGTTGTTTGCTATATAATCCTCAGTGGCCAGGGTTATATAAACTCTCAAATATTTATACCAGGGTCATATAACCTGCCAAAAAATTTTTTACAACTGGTATATTGAAGCTCAGTCAGTTCAAATAAGAAGTTCTGCATACTGAAATCAACATTATAGTAGTGTGTCTTGTAGTATATTTATAAGTATAATTGTTTTATTTATTTCAGCATGTAACAGGTACACAGATTGTGAAAGCTGCGTGAGTGCAAACATTAACTTTCAATGTAGATGGTGCGGCATTATTCAGAGATGTAGTGACAGCGTCGACTGGCATAGACAGAAATGGTTAAATGCTGGTTGTGTACATCTTGTAAGTTCAATACAGTTTTATTCTAATAAACACTTACCGCAAAAGATTTCAAAGAGGGCTATAATAGTAGATAGGATGATATTCTTTCCTAGGAGAAGTTAGGGAAATTCTTATACATTTTGTTTGGGAGAGAGGGACATAAGGGAAGGTAGTAAGTTTTCATGTGATCCATTTATATCTCACAATAGTTATAGCCCTTTGTTTATACTAATTACTGTACTATGCTCGCACTCCTAGCTCACAAAATTGTTTAATTTCAGGAATCATTGTTAGTAAGGACTGCTTGACCAAGGATTTGCAAATTATTGTCTTTATCATAAAGCTTTTTTTTTGTGAATACAAATGTATTATTAATATGATTATAAATTATAAACGTAAATTATGTATTTAGTCTGTTGCGGGCAATGAAACTTGTAGCGAGATGTATAATACAACAACCACAACAAATGATGTAACCAATACCACTTGGTGGAACCAGTCAAATAACCAGTCATCTGTTATAAGCTCGAGCACTATGAAGACTACAAGCACACTTTTTCCCGTGCCTCCTATTATATTACCTTACCCCTGCAATAAAGTGGTAACATTGAAACAGTTGCTTTTAAACTGGTCACTCCAATGAAAAGCAATATATTGCCCTTCCAGACTTAATTTCTTCAATAAGGCAATAGCAGTGACTTGTACTGTTATTTTAAGAATTAAAAGTAATTAACCTTATAGGTCTTTCAACTTAGAGAAAGTCATTTAAAGATTGCAACAATGTTCTTTATCGCTTATTTTTAAGTTTTAAGCATTTTGAAATTTGAAATCCCAAAAGATAACAATAGGCAATTCAAAGTAATGCTAGCCCATTACATAATTATATAAAAAGGGTGTTAAGGTAAACAAAAACTTAAGAGACATAAGAGTGGTTGTAACTGTTTAAGATGTTTATTTTTTAGCTCACCTGTCACAAAGTGACAAGGTGAACTTTTGTGATCGCTTTTCATCTGTCTGTCCGTCCATTATGTTAGTCCATTAATTTTATTTTAAATAACATCTCCTCATCAACGGCAAAGTCATTTTCATCCAAACTTCACATAAATTTTCCTTCGTGGTCACCTTTAAAAATTGTTCAAAGAAATTAATTCCATGCAGAACTCTTAGGTTGCCATGACAACCAAATGAAAAAACTTAAAATATCTTCCTTTAAAAAAGTCAAGGAGCTAGAGGTTAGATATTTGGCATGAAACATCTTCTTGTGAGTGTCAATCAAATTGCTCAAGTAAAAGCCCTGGGGACAAAATTGACCCCACCCTAGGTGGTCATTGAATTGCCTTATATGTATATAGTAAAAACTTTAAAAAAATCTTGTTTTAAAAAACCTAAAGAGCTAGAGCTTAGATATTTAAGATGAAAAAACATCTTCTAAAGATTGTCTGCTAAATTTGTTCAAATAAAAGCCCTGGGGTCAAAATTGGCCATGTCATGGGCGGTCATTGATTTTCCTTATATGTAAATAGTAAAAACTTCTTTTTAAAAAAAACCAAAGAGCTGGAGCGTAGAAACTATGCATGAAAAGTCTTCTTATGAGTGTCTACTAAGTTTGTTCAAGTAAAAGCTCTGGGGTTAAATGGGCCCTGTCTAAGGGGGTTATTGCTTTTCGTTATATGCTACAATAATAATGTTTATAGTAAAAATCTTCTTTTAAAAAACCTAAAGAGCTAGGGCTTAGATATTTAGCACGAAACATCTTCTAGATAGTTTCAACTAAGTTTGTTCAAATAAAAGTCCTGGGGTCAAAATTGGCCCCGCCCAACGGGGTCATTAATTTTCTTTATTTGTAAACATCTTTTGGGACTGTGGTTTTCCCGTAGCAATATCAACCAGTAATGTTTTACACATGCACTATTTCAGATACCTATATGATCTTTGTGATATCAGATTTGGATTAAGATTTTATATCTGCTTTTGTTTATAGTTTACACTATTACTTGTTCCTTGTCATGGAGTGTTGTTATGTTCAGGTGAGGGAATTCAGGGCCATCACGGCCCTCTTGTCATTGACCTCCTTTCCTTAGGTATAAATAGTGTTTTTTCCCAGATGGACACTACATTTAAATGATTTGTTTAATAAAAACTATTGATTTATAAATAAATTTTCAATTGAAGGCATTCTCCATGGATAAAAAATAGGGCCAAGACTAAACACACTTTCTACAAAATCTGAAATCTCAATCAAATGATTCTCATAGCTTGTCATTCATAATCTCAAATCTCAATGCATGTACTTTTTAACTGCATTTAACAAATTCTCACATTTATTCACTTATCATCTTAAATCTTTAGAGATACTGTGATTTTGATTTGTGAATTATTTCTAAAGGGGTTGGTTCACCTTATTTAGAGATTGTGTTATATATATTGCTTTCCATTGAAAGGACCAAATGTATTGATAGAAATCTTTGATCTGAAGCAGCTCTTTGCCAGTATCTTAACTTACAACTCTTACTTTAGTTTTACATTGAATGGTTATAAGTCTTTACTTTGATTTTACAGTGGGTTTTTTGCCACTTTTTTGTTGGGGGAATGGGAGTTTGTTTTAACTTATTTTGAAGTTCACAGTTATCAATATTATTGTTCTTGTTTCCTTTGACGTTCAAAATGGACCACCACCATTACCCTAAAAACAAAAACATTTATAAATAATACAGTTTATACAAGGAAGGGCAGGAAGCGTGTCATATGCCCTTGACATTGTTGAAATGACTTAACCTTCTTTACACTGTACTTTCTGGCTGATGCTTATTTCTGCTTGAATAATAGCTTATGTTAACTTTCTAGCAAAAGTTCACCAAATTTCCCTATATATAAATTATACACCCCTGCACAATGAAAGTTGTAATGGGGTAATACTGGTTTTAGACTATCCCTCAGTGTGATCATCTAGATGTGTGAGCTTCTTTGCTTAAACCACTCAACTGCTAGTAATAAATAATTGAGCATTATTTTATAATTAACAAGTTTACTGCCAAAATGATAGACATGTATGTATAAAACTTTTCTGTGGAAAAAAATCTCAATCTTTGTCTCTGACTGGTGATTCAGATATCATATGAAAATTATAGTGGTCGATCCATCTAACTGGCATATCTGGATAACTAACCAGTAATTACCTTACTCTTTGTAAGTGAATGACCACTAAGTCATACAATTATCTGAAACAGCAATGAGAGACAAATGATCATTAGAGTAGTAAAGATCAATTTTGACAGAGAAAACTGAAATTTCACCTTGCCAAACGGTGGAGCCAGTAAACCATGGATAATGATTCTGATGCTCTCCCTCTATTGAGCTTAGTGGACAGATGTAATGTAATGAACAGAATTAAAAATACATAATAATGTTGTGCATATATAAATAGTGTTGTTGCATTAATCAGTACCTCACATTTAGTTTAATAATATTTTATTGTATTTTATTGTAACTTTAAAAATATTAATGTGTTATTATGCATGTATATATTCAACTACACAGATATATAACCAGAAATGACTGAATATATTATTAGTTATAAAGAGTGTTGACAGGTTATATGGCCCCATATAAACGGCTATTTGTAAATTTAACCCTAGCCACTAGGTGAGGGTTATATTGAAAACAGCCATTTATATACGGCCATATAACCTGTCAACAATCTTTATAATGAATTTATAATACAGCAAGCATCATTTTTTAGAGAAAAAAGTAAGATTTCTTCATGAATCGACAACAGCCATGTATATAAAACTATATAAATGTCACGATTATCCAATGAAAAGCGGCGTTACAAATGGCAGCAGTATAATGTTTTATATATATATAGACATTTTATATATATGTATATAGACAAATGTAATAATTTTGAAAAACAAAAAAATAATGTATGTATATTAAACTACCTATGCAGCCAGATATGACTGAATATGTAATTATTATAATTATATTGACAAATGTTTCTGAAAAAGGTTTGGATATTTTTGTACATAATATAATAAATCTTTTAAGATGCCAATGCTAGATACAGAGTATTGTATCAAGTACTAGAAATAATAGTCTGGGGTATTTACTTCATTGATTCCAAGATCTGGCTTTGACATCACACAAATTTCAGCGGAAAATAAATCCTTCATTGTAAAAAAAAAAAAAATTATATAAAACAGGATCAAAATGAATCTTTTTGTTAGTAATTTTGTAACTGGTGTTCAATGAAAGTGTAATGAAAGTTTTTAAATTTTGTCAACAGGGTGATTAATGTCGATAAATTATGCCTTAAATTACACAATTTTTTTTATCTTACATCACATTCATTTGCCATTGACGTTATCAAAATTGGCAGCAAATGATGTTTTATCAAAATTCATGATATCATGAAAATCTTTTATTCGTAAATGTTTGTGCTTCTTAGTTATATCTCATTTGTAAAGATCGGGACCTCTAATTTAATATCACCCTCATTGTTAAACAGTGTGATATGATTTATATCTCACTGCTCAGTTTTTCAATACCTCATCCTTGTATAAATGTTTGTTTTATTCTTACAGTCAGGAGCTGGCAACTGTTCATCCATTCCAACTGCAAAACCAACACAAAAAGAAAAGCAAGGAAAAGGTAATTTTATAATAGTAACTGTGGTATATTGTTATTCTACATTCTAATGTTGTTAATGCACGCGTCAATTGCTACCCTCGGGAACCTCCACCCCTTACGAGTTATGAAAACTTTGACTCTGATATCAGCAAAAGCCTGGTAAAATCTCCATCTTGCAGGGACAGATTAGAAGTTTGTAAAATCCTTAACCTCTGTTCTGCAGGTTACACTCCAAGGTTTTGGGGTATACCAGGATTACAAATGACTCGTGCAGTATAGAGTTAATTTGCCAATCTCATACAACAATGTTTCATACCACATGAATCATGATGTTATATTATATTTATTCCATCTTATCCCTCCTCTGAAATTAACAGCTCTATGAAATGTTATAGGACTTAACTTTTTTAACTTTCACATTGTCTAGTCTATTGAAGAATATTAATAATCCTGAAACGGTTAATGTCATACCAATCTGTGGGAAAAAAATTTTTGTTTTAAAAATTAGACAAAATTAAAAAAAAGTTATTCTATATAATATTGTTAAAGGCAAGAATATTGTCAGTTTGCTGAAATAAATCTACAGTCTATGTAATACTTGTATAATGTAGTGAACTGGCTAAATTGTTGCAGTCAGCTTTTTTTATGCCCCTAAAGTGGGGCATATAGTTGTTAAGTCGTCTGGTCTGTCTGCTTTTTGTTTTGGCCATAACTTTGTCATTATGGATGGATTTTGTGTGAATGTGTAGCACATTGAGACAATGTGTCACATGCAAGATCCAGGGTAATAGGTCTAAAGTCAAGGTTACACATGGCTGTGTCTAAATTACATTCATGTCATTCCTTGATTTTATTTGATATATACTACATACATTTGTAACTGTCACTCTATTTAGAGAAAAGTTAATCACAGCTAATCAGGTCAAAGAACAGCTGCCTGTGTCTATACTAGTGCCATGCCTCACCTACAAACCCCATCCACCACCACCTACCCATCCCCACCTGGCCATATCAAAATCCAGCCGAGTTATGCTATATACCAAATTAATGAAGTTTTAATGTCGCTATATCTGTTGTCACTCTATTTGTGTGTAATGTAATGTTTGAAAATTCTTCAGAAAAGTTTGACAAGAAAGACTCCAACAGTAAGTTTCACTCCTCATAAACCTGTACAGTTTACTCTTATGTTAGATGTGTGTAATCTTTCCTTGTCAAAATAAATTGTCAAGGTGCCTGTACCATGTGACTTTTTGTGTTGTGCCTGTACCATGTGACTTTTTTGTGTTGTGCATGGGGTCAAATTTTAACCAATAGAAAAGTTGGAATTATTTTGTTCAATAACTTTTGTTAAAGTCTCTCATTTTTTATGGGATAAACTCATAAAGTGTAACTCAGTAACCTATAATATAGAATTTTTTTGGAAAAAAAATATTATTGTCATAAAGTGATACAGCGTGAATTTCTGATTGGTAAAACACACAGTTTCACTGAATTGAAATTTGTCACATTTTAAGTATAGAATATTGACTAGAAAGTGCAGGCTAGCTGGACAAACTTTTTTATCGGTTTCCTGCCCCATGCAGATCACAAAATGTGACATGGTGTAGGTACCATCATTGTGTCACATTGTAATTATTCTTATAATGCACAATAACTGCTCCCCAAGTTTTGCTACTTTTTTATGCTCCACATTTTTAGCTAGATTATTAGGAGAAAAGGGAGAGTTGTACTCACCAAGGCAAAGGCGTCACACTTTGGTTAAATTTTTGCATGCAAGTTGGTATCAAAACTGCTGAAAGGAATAAGTTGAAACTTTACATACTTATATGACAGCAAAATAGGAATTCACCCTCCAAGGCCCATAATTCTAACATCGATTTTTACAGAATAATGGCCCTTTTTTAACTTTCTTCATTATCAAGACTCCTGTTTTACTATCAAGAACTGAGAATAGTCGAGCAGGCTGTCCTCTCGACAGCTCCTGTTTTTAGTAGATCTTATAGTTACTGGTTTGTTTTTCCTTCTGACCTGTCGGGTCTTCAGCAGGTTTTTGGTTTGCTTTGTCAAAATAAGAACATGGATCATTTATCCCTGTTACTTAATGAAACTCTTACTTTCTGTTTATTAACATTTATATCATTAATCTTCTTTAAAATATATATAAATATTTTTTTATTTCCCTGTATATTTAATACAATGTATTATATACAAGATTTCTCATGATAACATATGTAAAATAAATAAAATGTAAAAATAAACAAGATGTAAAATAAACAAAATTTATATAAAATCAAATACCACATAGAAGCTGGTAAATTTTGTGGCACTGTTAACCATTAATTGAAGGTGCACACATTATACAAGTTTAGGTTGATAATGTTTTGTTTAGCTCTGTCCTTTTCTTGCACTTACTTGGCCTTAGTGCTTACTGTATTAATTAACCCATAGCTTCCTAGTTTCTGCTGATTCTACCTGTGCAACAAGTGGAGACCAAGATAAGCTGGCACATCCATGCTGTCTGATCATGGTCTGCATTGTTTGCTAAAGTTTACGGTTAGGTCTTACTTTGAAATTTTTCCTTAATATAGCATATGGTAAAATAGCATATGGTTGTGACCTGATTAAAAGATGGACAAGTCTATTTAAGAATATTTTACATGTAGCATTGTAAGGTTTTTTTTATGTAATAAGTTTCTGCTTTGATTTTAGAACCTTTTCCATATTTGGTCTTAGGTATTTTTGTTATTAGAATGGTCATTTTGTTTACCAATGGTTGAAGCTACATGCAAAACTTTTAAATACTATCACATGAAACAATTGTTCACAAATTCATGTACAAGAACATGCATATCTTCCTTCAATTTCAAGATTCTAATTTTCATCCTTTCAAACAACATTTAGGCTGTCCTAATAATAAACCGACATTGGTGTATGATTTGAATGCAACTTCATATACCCACTGAAGGAGTTTTCTCAAACCTCCATACATGTCATTTTGTTCTGTTGTTCAGAATGGAAGATCCTCACTTCCTCAGACCCATATCTTCAGTATAGATATTGATTCAATGATTTTGTGCATGCACAATTCACTTTTAAGGCAATTCACAACCAATTTCTGTCATACAAGCATTTTAGAAATACAGAAATGTATTCTTTTTTAAAATTTATACAATAATTTTTGTAGCAGTAATAAAACTTCATATGTTTTAAAATGTACCCCATTTTGATTGTAGGAAATTCCTTGTTAAGTTTATATGTGTAAGATCATTTTCTACAACCAATGTAGGTTACATGATTTTGAACTGAATGCTTGTCTAAGGGATCTTAACTGTAAGTCACTGTCCCAAACCAATACTTCTAGCATTGAATTTTATTGAATTTTTCCCTTTATATGATCTTAGAAGCTCTTGAATTGCTTTTCAAATGCTGATAATTTTTAACCAATCAGTTTGCCCTGTAACTTCTGTTTTTAGCTCGACTTTTCTATGAAAAGGGGAGCTATCCTACTCGCCCCGGCGTCGGCGTCGGCGTTGGCGTCACACCTTGGTTAAGTTTTTCGTACCACCCCACTTTATTTCAGAAGTATTACAAGTATGGCTTTGAAACTTACCATACTTGTTCACCATCATAACCTCCATCTACAGACAAGAGTACATAACTCTGTCAAGGTTTTTGACAGAATTATGGCCCTTTTTTGACTTAGAAAGTGTATTGAGCTTGGTTAAGTTTTTTGTACCACCTCACTTTATTTCAAAACCATTGGAGGTATTGCTTTGAAACTGACCATACTTGTTTACCATCACGACCTTCATCAACAGACAAGAGGACATAACTCTGTCAAGGTTTTTGACAGAATTATGCCCCTTTTTGACTTAGAAAATACATTGAATATGGGTAAAATCCACTTATTGCCTTAACCCTTTGAGATATTGCTTTGAAACTTTTAATGCTATTTCACATCATTACCCCCATCTGTACGCAAGAGAAGGTAACTCTGTCAAGGATTTGTTTTAAAAATTAAGGCCTTTTATCGACTTAGAATTAAATTTATTTAAGGCTCAACTCAGTTTTTTTTTCTTTCTTACCAGCCCTCTTTTGACTTAAACATTTCAAACTTTGCTGCAGTGTTCAAGGGTATCACACAATTCAGTAAAATAATTCTTCACTAAATATCTTAATGCTCATGGCCATTGTTCACTTTAAAAATACAGAGATTCTTGTATTGCCTTTTACTGCAAAAACTTTTTTTATTGGCAAGCAATAAAAAAGTCGAGCGCGCTGTCTTACGGACAGCTCTTGTTAAAAGTCTATCAACGTAATTATGGTCAAAGGTCCTTGATTTACTGTGATAAGCTCCTTGTTTGACTGCCCTTGTTTATATATATCATCTCTCCTTATGTTTACATTTTTGGTTATTTTCATTCTTTAAAGGTAATAATTTTATCATGATTTCATTTGATTTTATTGTATTATAATGTATATTTTCAGGTGTGGATGCGCAGACCGGCATTATTGTTGTTGTTGTAGTGATTGTGGTGGCCCTGTTTGGAGCTATTGGTGGCTGGGTATACTATGCTTACACTCATCCAACATCTGCCTCCGGAATGTGGTTAATGGAGGTAAATTACCCTGATTTTAATGTAAAATTATATTATATAGAGGATAATGAATGAGTGACGATTCAATACTGAATTTATTGAATGAGTTTCATAAAGTTATACCATGTAAGCCTCTGGTGAGCATAATATTTCTTTATTCAATAAAAGTTCAATAAAATCAGTAATGAAGCTGCACAAATATAATTTTCTATTTATGACATACCTAAAATAAGAACTGTTCACTGTGAAAAAGTATAAATTTTTTCATCGATGTAGAGTAACTCTAGTATGTAGCTCATCTTCATGCTATGTTTGTATAACGCAAATGACAGTAGGACAAATTATTTGCACCAGCTGTTATAGAATCACAAAAGCAGCACAGCTGTGTGATAAATAGAGGATATTAAATGAGTGTAGATTTAGTACTAAATTTATTAAACAAGTTGAATAAAATCATATTATGCGAGCCTCTGGTGAGTATTCTATTCTTTTATTCAACGCTTTCAATTAGTATTAAATGTACAGAATATAAGATTCTATTTATCACATATATAAAATTAGAACATGATTTTTCATTGACAGGCCTATAGTGTAACACTAATATTAGCGCGTTTTAAGGCCATGTTTATATATAACGCAAATGATGTCACATCAAAGTGTTATTACACTAGCATAATATTGTTTTTATTGAATGGCTTTATTACACTCTTGCACCACTGTTTATGTGATAAAATCTGTTAAATATGTCTGCAAGGTAACAATTCTTGGTCTCAGACCATGTAAGATTTATATCTGTTACATGGATTTTCACTGAAATATTCCTCTAAGTTGATTTAGATTTTTTATTGCTAGGCTCTGTAATGATCATTTTGCAACTGTGGTGGAAGATATCAGATACTCCTCAATAAATTATGTAAGGCACTCTTGATGTTACCTAAGCTAGCTTGGTAACTTCCTCAGATAGACCCTGTTGGGATTTGAACCCACAGCAGTGAGGGGTAATAGAGCTAACAGACCAGAGCCATTCTATCACAGCTGTCTCTTACAGACTATGTGGATGAATTTTAAACAAAATACCATATCTTCAACATAGCAAATGATCTTGTTACAAAAAGAAACATATTTTTAATTTCATTTTTCAAGTAAAACAACTTTAATGGGAATGTATTTGTTTCAGCACCGTCCAAGTCAAATGAAGGCAAAGATGTCCAATATGAAATTCTGGAATCGAAACGGTACATCAGGAGATAAATATGCTGTTGAATCTACAGCATAACAGTAGCCTGCTTAAATCTATGGTGGACTTTTAGTGACAAAAAAATCATCAAAAATAAACGTTACATTCATATCAGTGATAGAAGCAAAGTTAATGGTAGTGTCAAGAAATTGTTCAATGAATTTGTACCTTATTACACACTTAATGTATTTTTGTAAGATTTGTGGATTTAATACAATACTGTCTTAGCCTAGTGAACTTTATATAAACGGTAAGGCAAATGTTGGATTAAATCCTCAACTTACATCAAAGAAAGCAAGATGTTGAACAAGTGTGAGTATTTAAACAGCGTTTGACTTTCGAGATTTTTAGTCCTGATTGCCCACCATACAAGTATAAATCATTGCTGCAGTAAAAAGCTATGTGATTCTCATTATCATGATCAATTAGTGAGAATTTCAGTTTCTGCCTTTACTTTGCTAAATTTTGTGGGATAGACTTGCCTACTTACTGATTTTTGTTACTCTCCATTTGTAAACAAATTCATTTTATTGAAAAATAGAAGAAAAACAAAATTATATTGAGCAGTGCCCTTCTTTTAATTTGTAATTTTCCGGTTGTTAAAGGCTTTTATATGAAAAACTTACTAAAATTAATCAGGTAAGAGTATAGAATCTTGTTAGACTGTATTTAGTGATGCAAGTTGGTTTGGGTTTATACTGTCAATGATTTAGGCAAGTCTTTATTCACCACTGATTTTTTCATGGTACTTTTTATACATTGCATCGTCTTTATATATTATTATATCAATATCTCTCATACCATATCATTTAATTTATCATCAAACTTTTTGTTGTTGTATAATTTGTAAAACATTTTTGAAAGTAATTTTAGCAATTTTGATTAATTAAACAGCTTAAATGCTGCTTAAAAAATGCAAAAAAAAAGACATGTGAAATTGTCATTTACCTAGTATTGTTTTACAATTGGCCTAAATAAATGTAAAAAAAAGCTTATAAATTCATAAAAAAAATGTAGTTTATAAAAAAATCATACACATACTAAAAGCTTATATTTTTATATACTAATATGTTAGTGTACAGAATCTGGTTATTTGTTTAATATGGTTTTCTTAACTTTTTATCTCCACTTTTGGTAAGAAAAAAAGTGGAGTCGTGACCTTGTCGGTGTTGGCGTTTATTAAACCTTTTTGTTAAAGTCCATTTTCTAACTTTATAAGCTATTCTTGGTATACAAGTTTTCATTTTTATAATAGGTTGCCATTTCAAAGGGCAGATAATCTTGAAAATGCTTTTTACAAAGTTATGCCCCTTTTTTAACTTTAACTTTATGCCATGTTTAACTTTTTGATAAGGTGCATTTTCAACAAAAACTTTCAAACTTGGAATACATATTCATTACTTGAAAACTTGAAATATGTATGCAATATGATTGACTGATATGTCTTATATAAGTTTGTTTCTCAGAATTATGCCCCTTGTTCTACTAAGAAAAGTGGAGCATGCTGTCTTGTCTCCTTAAGTTAAACTTTGCACTTGTTGAACAATAAAGACAACAACATTTCTTTGTTGGATGCAGATTTTTTAAGAATAATTAAAAATGAAATGCTTTTTAACCCTTGTGTATTATATAGATTTAGTTTATTTACTGAAAGCCCTGAGGTCTGTAAAATCATTATGCAAAAGATTATATTTAATGATAAAGTTCTGTTAAAATAAGACTTGAAATTCTTGAAAGGAGACTTGGCCTTGCTTGCTTTAGTTTAGCATAAACAATCAGTCTTTGATCAAAAATATCTTTAATTTTAAAAGAGATATACAACAATAAAGATGTTGTTTAGTGTACACTAATATTTAACAGGTTATAAGGAATTGTTCATACCTCAAAAAGTGCATCAAAATCTAAGCATTCCAGGGTTGCATATAAAAGATATTTTATTTGACACAGACAATTTGTGATATATCATAATTTTCTTTCCTTTTTTATCAACAAAAAGTAAATCTTTAGGTAGATATTTACAAGGAAGGTATAGCCTTATTTTGTTTAAAATAAGAAATAAGGAAGGAGAGGGGTTTTTTTTTTCAGACTTTCAATATTCAATAAAATTTCAAAATCTTATCAATGTATACATACTTAATGAACCAGTCTGTTTCTAGAATATTATGTCAACCAGACTGTGTCTAGAAAATATCTTTTAAATGTATTCCAGTCTATGTTAATGTTCATTGTTCACTGCTTTGTTTGTACATTTGTTTGTTTGTGCAGTAAGCTTACAATATATCACTGATGTATGTTAATTAATTTGAAGATTCAGTGTTGCTTTGAATCCTAGAGAGACATGCTCTGATTGGCTATAGTTTATGAGTGAATCTGCTACAGACACTGTGATTGGTCAGTTTTTTTATACTTTACCCCTACCAGCTTGACTGGTACTTTGTTTCATAACATATACTCAAGTAGAATAGATACCAAGTTGTAATATTTAAAACAAAGAAGGGTTGATTTGTTGAACTTGTTTCCAAATGGGGGAATCATTTATATTTCATTGTATTTGATTTATATGCTCATGAAAATTAAGATTGACACCTTCACACAATATATAAGCAAGAAAAAAAGCAAAGAAACAGGCAAGAAAATAGATGGCTCAATTTATGTTGACAATTTATTTATCTTGAAAATCTAAATTTTATAGTGGGAAGGGAAGTAACTCAGGTAAGAAATAGTAGCTGCTATCAAGGGAGGTAATGTGAAAATGTCTACTGTAAATTTATGTGTTGATTTGTCTATCCATGACTTGTTGCTGTTAATTATATTATCTTTATTTTTTGTTATAGTATTTTGTAGCAAGAAAAGTGTTGTTTTCATGAGGAATCTCTTTTGTAATTATAAAAAATACTTTGATTTAGAATATTTTTTCAATGTACTTGTAGATTTTTGGAAACTCTGTTGTTGTTTTTTTTTCACCTTTTCACTATTTATGAAATTCTGTGTAAAAAAAATAATGAGAAAATGTTTTTGAATCTCAATTTAGATTGACATATCACACACTGATGACTCATCTCCGTCACATCTTGTATATTTATGACTTTTACTTTTTGTTTTGCTGTGTTTTGTAACCCCTTTGTAATTGTATAAAATGGTTCTGATGCAAAACTTAGCAGGCATACAATAATAAAACATTAAATAAACATGGTAGATTTAACAGATGACACCTGTACAAAGTTTAGATAATTATGATTTTTCTGTGTTTTGTATGTCAAGGTCACACAGTAAGATAATTAATAAAAGAAAGAAATAAACATCATGATTGTGACACACTTAAAATATGACAACATTTTATAGCATGCATGATTTTATATAAGATATTTATATATTTTCAATACATGTATTTGCTAAGATAAAAAGCTTAGTGTTCTTTTATTAGATTTCTGTTATGGTTGTGTTTATAGAAAAAAAATACATATATGTATATATATATAAAACTTTACTAGATTAACATATTATTAATATTTGTTGTTTAAACTCACAGATGATGCAATTAGGTCATATCAGATGAAAGATTGTTTTATTTCTTTGCTATATGTATTGGAAAAACTATGAAAATATTTTTTCATAAGTCTATACAAAGACTTTAGAAAGAAGATTTGCTTCAGGAATGACATCATTTCAAAATCAAATTATCAACTAACAAAATAAAAACATTACTTAAAATGTGTTAAAATTGAGGTGAAAACCAGAAAAAAAATCTCTAATACTCTTAGACTGAGAGATTATATATTTGTATAGAAGATAACATGTTGTTTTGTTTACTTAGTTTCTTTAAAAAGGAAAAAAATTTTTAAAAAATATTTGTATGCAATGGATAAATATCATTATTGAGGTATCTAATCCATCAATAGCTATAATAAAATTTTACTAAATTGTAGTTTTTCTTTGACCAACATTAATCAGATTTTATGGGTCAATATTGTTACATATTTGGTGACAAATTGTATCCAACCTTTCCTGTTACCCATAAATTTTGATCTTTTCTGTGACTCTCCATGCATAAGTAAAACTTAAAAAATCTTCTATTAAAGAACCCAAAGAGATAGAGCAAAATATTTAGCATGAAACATCTTCTAATGATTTTCTACCAATGTTTGTTAAAATAAAAGCCCTGGGTCAAAATTGGCCCCCGCCCGGGGGTCATTGATTTTCCCTTATATGTTATATAGCAAAAACTTTAAAAAAATCTTCTTTGAAAAAACCCAAATAGGCTGGAGTTTAGATAAATAAGGCATGAACATCTTCTAGTGAGTGTCATACAAATTTTTGTTCAAATAAAAAAGCCCTTGGAGTTAAAAGAGTTGTTGGCCCTTTGTTTGTATTTTTGAAAAAAATCCAACATTTATATTGGCAGAATTTTTTAACATTTATATTGCCTGGTTTTAATGATTTCTTCAACAACTTGTTTATATAAAGGCTATTCAAGGTAATTCATTTAATTACAATATTTTAAATGTTTACAAATTAATTACATATGATGTAAGTTTTTAAATATAGCCATCAACCCCAGTTTAGATTTAAAAAATTAATTTGGTTTTTTTAAAAAACACATTATTTTTTATTTGAAATAAATACAAATGCTACTTTAATTTGTAAATATTTTCGGGTTTTCAATTTTTTGACAGAAAAAGAAACTTTTGACAGAAAAATAAACCATACAACATTATACATGTATAAATTGACAGGCTAAATTTTAGTTTAATATTAATATGCAACTTGTTGATCAATAATCAAATTTATGAAGAGATTCTGTTAGTTGCTAGCTAGCTTGATATACTCAGACGTTTTTACACTGTTAAGTACTTTTATTGTTCACTCATGTTTTTTTTTTCTGGGATTTGCTTTATAGCAGACTCGAGTGTTTATTTACAGATATGAAATTGTATGTTACTCAGAATTTGCAATGAATTATTGTTGTTTTACATATTTCTTATACTAATATTATATATAATTCTATTAATATTGAGTTCTCTACATAATTTTGTTAGCAGATTTTTTTCTGGTCATCTGATTGGCTGTTAAATTGAGCATACTCGATGTTTTGCACGAAAATAAATACTCTTCTTCATTGTATATAACTGCGTTGTGTTTTATTCCCTTCTCAATATGATTAAAATCAGCTCCTAAATAATGATACGGTTAATGTCTGAACTTTTAGTCAGATTGTTTCCTTCTTTACATTCCTCCTCCCTCGCCAGCCATTTTCATTAATACAAGAGTTGATAAAGAAAAAAAGTTACCAGTATTTAAAATAGCTATAATTCTGCTCTTGTCACTTGATGTATCAGATGTTTATGACTATATGTCAATTATATCTCTTGCCTTATACAGGAGAACTGTTAAATTATGTCCCAATGTCTTCCATATCAATTTACTTTATTTCATTTTTGAAGCCATGTAGATCAGTGCTTGTGCAAATTTAGGAATTCATCATTAGAAATCTTGCGCAATATTCGGCATTTGTATTAATTGATGATAATAATAATAACAACGATAATTATACATGTAATTGGTATTGATGAAGATGATGATGATAATAATAACAACAATTAAAACTGATGTTGTTGATGATATGATAAGTATTTATAATGTTCAGTGCTTTTCCCTAGCTTGTGTCTTTTCCTTTTTCTTTCAAACGGAATCTGATTTAAATCGGCTTCTAATTAACGTTTTTGCTTTCAAATGTAAACCCCGGAACAAAATGAACCAGTACCAGCTAATGTTGTTGACACAGGTTAATGACCAGTGAGTGAGTGCATTTGTTCTGCTGTTTTTGCTGCCGCTAAAATAGAAATAATAAAAAAGATGGATGCTTTTACAGATCATATGAATGAAGCCTATGACATAGTTGTAGGAATAACTTTCATCGCATTATTTTTAGCAATTGGGAATGTGTGTTACCCTTGCCCCATTCGATCCTCTTTAAAAAAGTAAACAGATATATGTGAGGAGCAAAAAGAACCTGTTATATATATGTTGAGTTTTTCCTATATGAATCAATGGGAAAAAAATGCACTGTACAATTTTCAATTTTCATTGATAGTGAACTGAATATAATGGGTTAGAAAAGAAAAAGTTCCAAACTATTGAATATGCCACGACTGTTTCCGGCACAAGATAATGTGCACTTGTGTGTTAATTTTTATAAACAGATAAATAAATGACAAGAGAGTTATGACCCTCGGTAAAGTTATAATTTTGTACATATTCTTCAGTAAGGGACAAATAACTACCAAACTTTACTTTAATGAATATAAAGAATAGATGATAATGAACATACATGAAGTTATATTTTTAATGTCAGACATTTATTAGTGACATCCTAGTGTCATAATTGGTTTGAATCTTGATGGTATTTTTGAAATACAATTGCAAAATGTTCATAGTTCACAAATATTTAGTTATACATATATTTTACAGGTTATATTGCCCATTTTAAACTTATATAACCCTAACCAAGGTACAGCCAGAAATGTCAGGATTATCCGATGATAAAGACTGCTACCCGTTACTTTTTCCGGGTGAGCACGGACATATACATTTGTTCAATGATTATAAATATTCTATAGACCAAAACGGATATTCTATAGACCAAAACAATCGTTATAAAAACGTGTGAATTACATAGCAGATATATAGTTCCGTAGTTCTTTATATAGCTCTGTGAAAGAAAACATCGTCAGAAAACGAACACTCAAAAAATTATTCCAACATGGTTATAAATTGATCCTATCTTAATACGTAAACTATTGAAAACCATATCCATTTTATTAAAACGATCCATTATCAATTTGAACTATATTTCACGACACTTATATAAAGTTTCATGTTTTGAAAAAGTTTTAATGTGCGCTCTAAAGGTTTTGTTCATGGATAAAATATCTTATTTGAAAATGATACATGTATAAGGCGTTTTTAAAATGAAGTGGAATAAAATCTTTTCCAATGTATTTGAATACGCTACGATTTAATTAATCTTACTTTCACTTTGCCTATAATTAGCGTTGTTGGGATTGTTTGTTTTGTTGGTTTTTAACTAAAGGGAAACAATCAGTCATCAATATCCAGGTGTAATTAGTGTATTCATTCGATAAATATTCCTGAAGGAATTGTTTTTTCCTTTGTTTTCAATTGATTCTGGATAAAAAAACAGGACATTATAGTGTACGCTTATGACAATTTACAACTTGAATTTACTTTGATGAAACTAAATCATGTGAATAAAACGGAAAATAAATTTTAGTGACATCAAAGTAGATTGTTTGCCAGGAAAATTATTTGAAAATGTGTTTTGAAGAGAAAAATACTAGTTAATGTCAAGAAACTGTCAAGAAACTGTTTTTGTTAAATATAAAAAAATCGACCATTTAAAAACCGTTGTGAAATGTTTGAAGCGTCAAAATGTTACGAGTTTTATTCTTTTTGCTGATTTGGAATTTCGCCAATATCGTGAATTTCGTGCATTGTCAAACATATTCTGACGTTACGAACCTTCGTGCATCACTCCTTACGCCATATAACCCTGATGTCGTTCCAGTTAGCAATCATTCTTCAGTTTTAAAAGTAAATTTATCAGCGACTCTCTTCATGATGCCGGAAGTGGATGCGGTCCGTGGGTCAGTGACAATGGGGATAATGATTGTCCAAGAATGGTTCGATGAAATAATTACATGGACACCGGCTGATCACGGTGGAATAACGTACATTTCTATGAAAAGTGAAGATGTCTGGACGCCGCCTTTAACTGTGGCAAATCCGTTCAAATTTATTTTGCTAGGTCAGTCTTGGATGCAAGTTGGATATCAGTACAATGGCAAAGCTAGGTATGCGGTTGGTGACATCATGGAGTTCTCTTGTTCTTTCTACATGAAATACTGGCCTTTCGATAAGCAAATCTGTTCTATAAACTTCTTTCCGTGGGGATACGCGTACAATGAAGTAACGTTCGCTATACCGGGAACGGTGATGAGCACAGACTTTTATACGAAGAACGGCGAATGGCATTTAGAAAAGGATTCATTTACATTTTCAAAAGACAATGACGTTGGATCAACCACAGTGCGATACAGCTTCCGGATTTCACGGCAGTCATTGTTTTACTTGCTGACGATAATAATTCCCATCAATGGGATAGGCGCCTTAACTTGTTTGGTTTTTCTTCTGCCGAGCGAGTCCGGTGAGCGCGTTAGTTACTCGATCACCATTATGCTGTCACTTGCAGTATTTCTGACGGTCATTTCAGACGACTTGCCAAAGCATTCAGAGCCGATCCCTATCATGTGCGTATACATTCTATTTAACATGGTTGTATGCATCTGTGGTCTCATTATGGTCATTCTAAATTTAGCACTATACCACAGGAGTGAAACCACACAAATATCGCGATTTTATAAATCACTAGTGAACATTACATGTCGCCGGAATAAAGTCGGTGATGAAAGCTTGGTGGATTTTTCCGATGATTTGATAAAAGCGATTAGTCGAGGGAAACAAGGTACTGCTAAACAGGATTTTAAAAAAAGCAAAACAAGATCTAGAAATACTAATGGTTGGGTTTCAAACGGTCCAGATGAGAACATAACGTGGAAGGAAGTAAGTCGGGCGATAGACAAGATATTATTTTATGTGTTAGTTATACTAACGTATGTTCCATCGTTAGTAATACTGGTTTATATAGCAGCGGATTCTGACTACAACACACAATGAATGTTCATTTGCAACGTTTTCTGCTCCTTCGGAATGACTCATTGATAATCGTCGAGTTAGTGCGAATGAATGAATGCTGACACGGTTGTAATAAACTGTCATCTTCTGCAAATTCTGAAATATTTACACACAGTGTTTGAAGTGCTTTAGACGTTTATGGGATTATTTTCGAATATTAAACTAATATCACAATATATCTTTACTAATTGGACTAGTTCATCACCCGTAAACAAGATTCAAGATTGTATTTCAAAAGGCATAAACATTTTACAATGTCCGTCGCCATGAACAGAATGACGGTTACAAATAGTATATGAGAAAAGTATGTAACTGAATACAAATAATTTTTACATTAACATTTTTATATTGTACAGAACACATATACACTGTATTTCAATATATGTTTGTAAATAATAGTATGCTATATATACCAATATCATTATTTGAAACAATCAATCATTCGTTTATCATCATGTAATGCATTTACAAAGTAGATATATTTTGATAATCTATTAACAGTTCCATGCTTAAAATTTTTCATTAAAGATATAAATTTATTTAAGGTAACATTATTATTTTTTGGGTAACGGCTCTGGTGATGTAAAATCTTGACAGGTAATATATCCACATATATCACTCCAAAACCAAAATAACATTTATTATAATACTGCACGTTTGTAACGTCGCTTTTCATTGGATAATCGTGACGTTTATATAGTTTTATATACACGGCTGTTGTCGATTCATGAAGAAATCTTACTTTTTTCTCTAAAAAATGATGTTTGCTGTATTATAAATTCGTTATAAAGATTGTTGACAGGTTATATGGCCGTATATAAACGGCTGTTTGCAATATAACCCTCGCCTAGCGGCTCGGGTTATATTTACAAACAGCCGTTTATATAGGGCCATATAACCTGTCAACAATCTTTATAACTAATATTATAATACTGCACGTTTGTAACGTCGCTTTTCATTGGATAATCGTGACGTTTATATAGTTTTATATACACGGCTGTTGTCGATTCATGAAGAAATCTTACTTTTTTCTCTAAAAAATGATGTTTGCTGTATTATAAATTCGTTATAAAGATTGTTGACAGGTTATATGGCCGTATATAAACGGCTGTTTGCAATATAACCCTCGCCTAGCGGCTCGGGTTATATTTACAAACAGCCGTTTATATAGGGCCATATAACCTGTCAACAATCTTTATAACTAATAATATAAACGTCACGATTATCCAATGAAAAGCGACGTTACAAACGTGCAGTATTTTAAATATATATATATATATATATATATACGTATATAATGGATTTCTAGATTGACATATTTGATGTCTAAACTAGAAAGGTGATGAAAATTGGGTCATATCAGAGAGATATGTTTTATTTCTTTGCTATATTTATTGGAAAGACTATGAAAATATTTTATAGTCTATACAAAGACTGTAGAAAGAAGATTTGCATCAGGAGTGACTTCATTTCAAAATCAAATTATCAACTAACAAAAATAATAAAAAAAATTACCAAAAATGTATTAAAATTGGGATGAAAACCAAAAAATAATCTCTAAGACTCTTAGATTGATAGATTATATATTTGTATAGAAGATAACATGTTGTTCACTTATGTATTCTTTTGAAATGGAATATTTTTATAAGGAGAAACATACTTTTGTATGCAATGGATGTAAATATCATTATTGAGGTATCTAATCCATCAATAGCTAGTATAAATTTTACTAAATTTGTTAGTTTTCTGTGACCAACTTAATCAGATTTTATGGTCAATATTGTTACATATTGGTGACAAATTGTATCACCTTTCTGTTACCTAAATTTTGATCTTTCTGTGACCGACAACGTCTCTCCTGTGATCAATTTTGTCATTTTTTTCTTGGGACAACTTTGTCACTTTTGTGGTAAACGTTGTCACATTTCCGTAACTAGCTTTGTTACTTTTCTGTGACAAACTTTACACTTACCCCAGGTTACAGTTAAGATTTGTTACCCCAGATTACAGTGGTGCTTTGTTACCATAGATTACAGTGGTGTTTTGTTACCCCAGGTTACAGTGGTGTTTTGTTACCACTTATTACAGTGGTGTTTTGTTTTACCCCAGGTTACCCCAGATTAAAGTGGTGTTTTGTTACCCCAGGTTATAGTGTTGTTTTGTTACCACAGGTTACAGTGGTTTTTTGTTACCCCAGGTTACAGTGGTGTTTTGTTACCACAGGTATCAGTGGTGTTTTGTTACCCCAGGCTACAGTGGTGTTTTGTTACCACAGATTACAGTGGTGTTTTCCTACCACGGGTTACAGTAGTGTTTTGTTACCACAGGTTAGAGTGTTGCTTTGCTACCACAGGTTACAGTGGTGTTTTGTTTCTACATATTACAGTTGTGTTTTGTTACCCCAGGTTACAGTGGTATTCTGTGACCACTGAATACAGTGACGTTTTGTTACCAGTTTACAGTTGTGTTTGTGACCCCAGGTTACAGTGGTGTTTTGTTACCCCAGGTTACAGTGGTGCTTTTTGCCCCAGGTTACAGTGGTGTTTTGTTACCACAGGTTACAGTTGTGTTTTGTTACCACAGATTACAGTGACATTTTGTTACCACATATTACAGTAGTGTTTTGTTACTAATTATAGATGTTGATAAATTTCATATTTCAACATCTTTAATTATTATAGATGTTGAAATATGATTTTTTTTCAAAACGGCTTATATTAAGTTTTTTGATGTATATGATCAGTACAAATGCTGGGATTGACAAATATGCATTTTATTTGGATTTTAAAGGCGTTTTGAGCTCCAAACCCGAAGTGTCTGTGAAGGTTATCACATGATATATAGGACAATTTGGAATCATTTATGATAACGTTTGGTTACACATATCAGGTATGAAAGATAAGTGTGACTGTTTACAACTTTTTTATAATTTCCAACACAAACTATGTACATGTGTATATACAGCTATACGTTCATATATTGATATCGTCCATATATTGATATCGTCGTCAAACACATTATTTCAGTTTTTGGCAGTGAAAAATACAACATGTTGACGTAACATATTTTGTATAAACAATTTACATTTTCCTTTTAAAATTGTGTGAAAAATTACTTAATTTGATTCAAGTTATTACATAAACATGTCAATCGTTTATCAAAGAATTTCAACCTGTCACGCAAAATAAGTCCAACAGAATGATCTTCAGGACCTTGTGACATATAATCAGTTTTAATAAGAGTTGTGGCCTTTGGTTTTTATTTTATCATGTTTATTGTCAGAAAGCCTGGTTTTATGATTTCTTCTCACTTGTTAATATAAAACATATACGACAATATATTAAATGACAGATAATTACGATCTAAGTTTAAATATAGCCATCAACCCCAGTTTAGATTTTAAAAAAAGAAGATTTTTTTTGTTAAAAAAAACACATTTCTTATTGAAAAATAATACAAATGCTACATTAATTTTTAAATGTTTTGGATTTTCGATTTTTTTTATTAATATGTAACTTGTTAATTAATAATTAAATTTTTTAAGACTTTTTGTTAGTTGCCAGCTTAAAGCTTGATATTCTCAGACGTTTTGACACTGTTAAGAACTTTTATTGTTCACTCATGTTTTTTTTCTGGTATTTGCTTTATGGCAGACTTGGGTGTTTATTTGCATATTACTCAGAATTTGCAATGAACTATTGTTGTTTTACACATTTCTTATACATATATTATATATAATTCTATATATTGAGTTTCCTACATAATTTTGTTAGCAGATTTTTAATGGTCATTTGATTGGCAAGCAATCATCCCTAACTATTCCACGACTGTTTCCGGCACGAGGTAATGTGCACTTGTGTGTTAGTTTTTATGAACGCGAAGATTAGTGACAAGAGTTATAGCCCTTGGTATAGTAATGATTTCGTACATATTCTTAAGTAAAGCGACTAATAACGACCAAACATTACTTTAATTCATAAAAGATAAGATGATAATGAATATACAATGTACATGAAGTTATATTTTTGATGTAATACATGCATTAGTGACTCCCGGGTGTCATAATTGGTTTGAATCTTGATAATAACTTTATAACAGAATTGCAAAAATGTTCATAGTTCACAAATATTAAATTATTCATATGTTTTCTATATGTTGTTGGTATAATGGATTTAAGAATTCTCACTGAAAACTTTTAAATGCATTTTTTATAATTAAACAAGAACAAAAGTTTTGTAAGTTTATTTTCAAACGTAAAAAAAATATCATTGTTTATTGAAATATTGTACTGACTGTTTATAGTTGATGTAATACACACTAACATTGTTTTTCACAAAAAATGTTACATTCTTCTTATAATGTTCTTGCTGAAAGTGGAATTATATATCATAATGTAAGAATGGGCTGATATCAGCCTTTCTTGTATTTAGTTTTTATTTGCTAATGTCAACCTTAACCTGCTGATTTTCTTTTGTAATAGATTTGCCTTGCATTGAGTTTGGAACAGTCCATTCAAAGTTTAGGGGATTTCAATATCAAAATTGAGTTACCAACAGTATACAGCCTGATTACAGGGCATATATGCGCTGGCTGACCCGGCTCTACACTGGTGGCAAAAGGCTTGTGACTTCCGGTTCTAACGAGCTAAAAGAGTTTAAGAAATAACACTATAAGATGAAACTAGAACTAGATGTCATAATGAATGTAGTGGTTATCACATGATGTCTAGGACAATTTTGGAATCATTTATGATAACGTTTTGTTACACATATCAGGTATGAAAGATTTGTGTGACTGTTTACAACTTTTTTTATAATTACCAACACAAACTATGTAAATAAAGCTTTTTTTTCATATATTGATATCATCGTCAAACAAATTATTTCAGTTTTTGACAGTGCAACATGGAACATGTTGACGTAACATATTTTGTATAAACAATTCACATTTTCCTTCTAAAATTGTGTGTAAAATAACTCAATTTGATTCAATTTATTAAATAAACATGTCGATCAATTTATGCTGAACCTCCTACAGTTAATCAATGGATTTCAACTTGTCACACAAAATTATCAAGTTCAGCAGTAATGAGTATGATTGTCAGGCCTTGTGACATATGATCAGTTTTAATAAGAGTTGTGGCCCTTGGTTTGTATTTTAACATGTATATTGGCAGAAAGCCTGGTTTTATGATTTCTTCATACTTGTTTATATAAGGCATATTCAAGGTAATTCATTTAACAACAATATTTTAAATGACAAATAATTACGATGTAAGTTTAAATATAGCAATCAACCCCAGTTTAGATTTAAAAATTAATTGGTTTTTTTAAAAACACATTATTTTTTATTGAAATAAATACAAATGCTACTTTAATTTGTAAATATTTCGGGTTTTCAATTTTTTGACAGAAAAAGAAACTTTACAACATTATACATGTATAAATTGACAAGCTAAATTTTAGTTTAATATTAATATGCAACTTGTTGATCAATAATCAAATTTATGAAGAGATTCTGTTAGTTGCTAGCTAGCTTGATATACTCAGACGTTTTTACACTGTTAAGAACTTTTATTGTTCACTCATGTTTTTTTTCTGGGATTTGCTTTATGGCAGACTCGAGTGTTTATTTACAGATATGAAATTGTATATTACTCAGAATTTGCAATGAATTATTGTTGTTTTACATATTTCTTATACTAATATTATATATAATTCTATTAATATTGAGTTCTCTACATAATTTTGTCAGCAGATTTTTTTCTGGTCATCTGATTGGCTGTTAAATTTAGCATACTCGATGTTTTGCACGAAAATAAATACTCTTCTTCATTGTATATAACAGCGTTGTGTTATGTTTGCTTTCCAATCTGATTAAAATCAGCTAAATTATGACACGGTTAAAGCAGGTTAAAGCAGCATACTTTCAGATTCATGTTAATTTTCATGAAAATTTGATAATGTATTTGAAAGTAAAATATTATGAGGTGAACAAATCAAGTTATTTACACATTGCAGTCGGCACTTACAGTCCACGAAAATAACCAAAAGGAGGTCAAAATATGCAAAAACTGTCCTTACTGTTAACGGAGTAGAAATATTGAGATAAAATACTGCAAAATCAGTTTTAAATCGCAAATAACATGTTAACTATAACATGGATCTTGAATGTTTTCGCCTTTCTTAAAAAATTAGTACATTTTTCTCAAATTTTTATTTTCTTGAAATATTTTGGCTCATCTGGATGCTTGTTGCTTTCATTTCTGTACTTTAGTCAGATTGTTTCCTTCTTGACATTTTGCCGGCCTTTCCAGTCACTTTCCTTAATAAGAAAGTTACAAATATTTAAAATACCTATTATTCCGCTCTTGTCCCTTGATTATGAATACCAGTTGTATATAGCCAACTGTACATTTTATCTCTTGCCCTTCAGAGGAGTATTTTTAAATTATGTCTCAATGTCGTATCATTTTACTTGCTTTCATTTTGATCAGTGCTTGCTCAAATTTAGAAATTTATCCTTAAAAGTCTCGCGCAATATTCGGCATTTGTAATAAACGATAATAATGATAATAACAACAGCAACAATTATATGACGATATAATTAAGTATTTATAATGTTCAGTGCTTTCCCTTCTTGTGTATTCTCCCATTTCTTTCAAATGCAATCTGATATAAATCGGCTTGTGATTGAAGGAATAATAAAGACTGCTACCCGGTACATTTTCCGGGTGAGCACGGACATATGAATTAGTTCCATGATTATAGATATTCTATAGACCAAAACGATCTTTATAAAAACGTGTGAATTATATAGCAGATATATAGCTCTGTGGAAAAAACATCGTCAGAAAACGAACACCAAAAAAATATTCCAACATGGTTATAAATTGATCCTATCTTAATACGTAAGCTATTGAAAAGCATATCCATTTTATTAAAACGATCCATTATCAATTTGAACTATATTTCACGACACTGATATAAAGTTTCATGTTTTGAAAAAGTTAATGTGCGCTTTAAAGGTTTTATTCATGGATAAAATATCTTATTTGAAAATGATACACGTATAAGGCGTTTTTAAAATGAAGTTAAATAAGCGGAATAAAATTCTTTCCAATCTATTTGACAACTCTACGATTTAATTGATTTTACTTTCACCTTGTCTTATAATTTGCTTTTGTTGGTATTGTTTGTTTTGTTGGTTTTTTATTTAAAGGGAAACAATCAGTCATCAATATCCAGGTGTAATTAGTGTATTTATTCGATAAATATTCCTGAAGGAATTGTTTTTTTCCTTTGTTTTCAATTGATTCTGGTTAAAAAACAGGACATTATAGAGTACTAATAGAGTACACTCAGGACAGCTTACAACTTGAATTTACTTTGATGAAAATATATCATGTAAATAAGAAGGAAAATAAGTTTTAGTATTATCAAAATCGATTGTTTGCCAGGAAGTTGTTTGAAAAAAACGACCATTATGAAATCGTTGTGAAATGTTGGATGCGTCAAAATGTTACGAATTTTATTCCTATTGCAGATTTGGAATTTCGCCAATATCGTGAATTTCGTGCACTGTCAAACATATTCTGACGTTACGAACCTTCGTGCATCATTGCTTGCATCATACAACCCAGATGTTGTTCCTGTTAGCAACTATTCTGCAGTTTTAAAAGTAAATTTGTCAGCGACTCTCTTCATGATGCCGGAAGTAGACCCGGTCCGTGGGTCAGTGACAATGGGAATAATGATTGTGCAAGAATGGTTCGATGAAATAATAACATGGACACCGGCTGATCACGGTGGAATAACGTACATTTCTATGAAAAGTGAAGATGTCTGGACACCGCCTGTAACTGTGCAAAACCCGTTTAAATTCATTTTGCTGGGTCAGTCTTGGATGCAAGTTGGATATCAGTACAACGGTAAAGCAAGGTATGCGGTTGGTGACATCATGGAGTTTTCTTGTTCTTTCTACATGAAGTACTGGCCCTTCGATAAACAAATCTGTTCTATAAACTTCTTTCCGTACGGATACGCGTACAATGAAGTAACGTTCGCTATACCTGGAACGGTGATGAACACAAACTTTTATACGAAGAACGGCGAATGGTATTTAGAGAAGGATTCATTTACATATTCAAAAGACAATGACATTGGATCAACCACTGTGCGGTACAGCTTCCGGATTTCACGGCAGTCATTGTTTTACTTGCTAACGATTATTATTCCCATCAATGGAATAGGCGCCTTAACTTGTTTGGTTTTTCTTCTGCCGAGCGAGTCCGGTGAACGCGTTAGTTACTCGATCACCATTATGCTGTCACTTGCAGTATTTCTGACGGTCATTTCAGACGACTTGCCAAAGCATTCAGAGCCGATCCCTATCATGTGCGTGTACATTCTATTCAACATGGTTGTATGCATCTGTGGTCTCATAATGGTCATTCTAAATTTAGCACTAAACCACAGGAGTGAAACCACGCAAATATCGCGATTTTATAAATCACTAGTGAACATTTCATGTCGCCGGAATAAAGTCGGTAATGAAAGCTTGGTGGATTCTTCCGATGATTTGATAAAGGCGATTAGTCGAGAGAAACAAGGTACTGCTAAACAGGATTTTAAGAAGAGCAAAACAAGATCTAGAAATACTAATGGGTGGGTTTCAAATGGTCCAGATGTGAACATTACGTGGAAGGAAGTAAGTCGGGCGATAGACAAGATATTATTCTATGTGTTAGTTATACTAACGTATGTTCCATCGTTAGTAATACTGGTTTATATAGCAGCGGATTCTGACTACAACACACAATGATTGTTTGCAACGTTTTCTGCTCCTTCCGAATGACTTTTATTGATAATCGTCGAGTTATTGCGAATGAATAAATGCTGACACGGTTGTAATTAACTGTCATCTTCAATTCCGTTCAAATACATGAAATGAATTGTTGGTATTTCTGTCAAAATACTCGCAGAACTTTTTGTTGTATCTTTTTTATACGTTTTATCAAACATGCTTTCTTTATGGTGGCATTTGAACAAACTTTTATTAACAAAAGAAATGAAAGATTTTTGTTATTTTTGCATATCAAAAAAAGAACCTTTTTGTTGCTTTATTTTAAATGGCATATCATATTGAAAAAGAATTGAATTTGTTTTTGACAATTTATAACATATCTTGGGTCATATCTTTACACCAAGTTGTTGGTATAATGGATTTAAGAATTCTCATTCAAAACTTTTAAATGCATTTTTTTATAATTAAACAAGAACAAAAGTTTTGTAAGTTCATTTTCAAATGTAAAAAAATAATATCATTGTTTACTGAAATATTGTACTGACTGTTTATAGTTGATTTAATACACACTAACATTGTTTTTCACACAAAATGTTACATTCTTCTTATGATATTGCTGAAAGTGGAATTATATATCATAATGTAAGAATGGGCTGATATTAGCCTTTCTTGTTGCTAATGTCAACCTTAACCTGATGATTTTCTTTTTACATTGAATTTGGGACAGTCCTTTCAAGGGGATTTCAATATCAAAATTGAGTTACCAACAGTATAGAACCTGGTCACAGCAATAGGCTTGTGACTTCCGGTTCCAACAGGCTTAAAAAACTCAATCTCGTACGCAGTGATCTTCCCTTACAGGATTAGATCTCTGCCATCACAACATTTTCGTCAAGATTTTTGACGATATGAAATTTTTCAATTTTGATATTTATTTTAAAAAGTAAACACGGTTTTTGCTAATGTTTCAAGACTGTTACGTGTTAGATGTGAACTAAAACTACAAAATAATTTTGGAAACATAAATATTATGAAACAATTGCCCCTCTCAAAAGGAAAATCATTCAATTAATTATTAATTTCGACTGTACGCTTTATAAAGATGATTTTTTTTTCAATCATATAGACATATTTGAGACCAGAAATCAAGTTTTAATGTCGCTGTTTATTACAGATGTAACATTTTTTCAACGATTTCATTGGCGTATATGCCAGTTTTACACGATCATGTGATAATACTATCATCACGTGATTTGTGTGAAGGCCGTAGCTTAATCGGTGCGACACTATAAGATTAAACAAGAACTAGATGTCATAATGAATGTAGAGGTTATCAGAGACACTTGGGGTTTGGAGCTCAAAACGCCTTTAAAATCTAAATCAAATGCATATTTGTCAATCCCTGCATATGTACTGGTCATATATATAAAAAAAACTTAATATAAGCCGTTTTGAAACAAAATCATATTTCAACATCTATAATAATTATAGATGTTGAATATGAATTTTTTTCAAAACGGCTTATATTAAGTTTTTTTGATATACATGTATATGATCAGTACATATGCTGGGATTGACAAATATGCATTTTATTTGGAATTTTAAAGGCGTTTTGAGCTCCAAACCCCAAGTGTCTGTGGAGGTTATCACATGATGTCTAGGACAATTTGGAATCATTTATGATAACGTTTTGTTACACATATCAGGTATGAAAGATTAGTGTGACTGTTTACAACTTTTTTTATAATTTCCAACACAAACTATTACATGTGTATATACAGCTAAACGTTCATATATTGATATCGTTCATATATTGATATCGTCGTCAAACACATTATTTCAGTTTTTGGCAGTGCAAAATGCAACATGTTGACGTAACATATTTTGTATAAACAATTTACATTTTCCTTTTAAAATTGTGTGAAAAATTACTTAATTTGATCCAAGTTATTACATAAACATGTCAATTGTTTATCAAAGAATTTCAACCTGTCACGCAAAATAAGTCCAACAGAATGATCTTCAGGACCTTGTGACATATGATCAGTTTTAATAAGAGTTGTGGCCTTTGGTTTTTATTTTATCATGTTTATTGTCAGAAAGCCTGGTGTTATGATTTCTTCTCACTTGTTTTTATAAAACATATACGACAATATATTAAATGACAGATAATTACGATCTAAGTTTAAATATAGCCATCAACCCCAGCTTAGATTAAAAAAAGATTTGTTTTTGTTAAAAAAAAACAACACAACATTTCTTATTGAAAAATAATACAAATGCTACATCAATTTTTAAATGTTTTGGATTTTCGATTTTTTTTATTAATATGCAACTTGTTAATCAATAATCAAATTTTTTAAGACTTTTTGTTAGTTGCCAGCTTAAAGCTTGATATATTCAGACGTTTGACACTGTTAAGAACTTTTATTGTTCACTCATGTTTTTTCTGGGATTTGCTTTATAGCAGACTTGGCTGTTTTTTTGCATATTACTCAGAATTTACAATGAACTATTGTTGTTTTACACATTTCTTATACATATATTATATATAATTCTATATATTGAGTTTCCTACATAATTTTGTTTGCAGATTTTTTATGGTCATCTGATTGGCTGTTAAATTAAGCATACTCTATGTATTGCACGAAAATAAATACTCTTCTTCATTGTATATATCCGCGTTGTATTTTATTCCTTTTTCAATCTGATACGGTTTATGTCTGAACTTTAGTCAGATTGTTTCCTTCTATTCGGCATTTGTATTAATTGATGATAATAATAATAACAACGTTATTTATACATGTAATTGGTATTGGTGGTGGTGATGATGATGATGATGATGATGATGATGATGATGATAATAACAACAACAATAATAATAACAACAATTATAATTGATGTTGTTGATGAGAATAATAATAAATATTAATAATGTTCAGTGCTTTTCCCTATCTTGTGTCTTTTCCCTTTTCTTTCAAACGGAATCTGATTTAAATCGGCTCCTAATTAACGTTTTTGCTTTCCCCCGGAACAAACCCCAGAACAAAATGAACCAATACCAGCTAATGCTGTTGACACAGGTTCATGCCTTCAGTGGGTGAATGCATTTGTTCCGCCAAAATAGAAATAATAAAATAAATGGATGCTTTAACAGATCATATGAATGAAGCCTATGACATAGTTGTAGGAATAAATTTCATCGCATTATTTTTTTTTGCTACTGGGAATGTGTGTTAATCTTGCCCCATTCGATCCTCTTTAAAAAAGTAAAAATTAAAAATATATATGTCAGGAGCAAAACGAACCTGTTATACATGTATATCAGTTGAGTTTTTCCTATATGAATCAATGAACAAAAGCTGCATTGTTACACAGTTTTCAAATTTCATTGAAAGTGTACTGAATAGTACAGGTTAGAAAAGAAAAAGTTCCAAACCATTGATGCGATGACTTGAGTTACAAGCAATTATCATTTATTCCACGACTGTTTCCGGCACGAGGTAATGTGCACTTGTGTGTTAGTTTTTATGAACACGAAGATTAGTGACAAGAGTTATAGCCCTTGGTATAGTTATGATTTCGTACATATTCTTAAGTTAAGCGGCAAATAACGGCCAAACATTACTTTAATTCATAAAAAGATGGGATGATAATTTTAATGAATATACAATGTACATGAAGTTATATTTTTGATGTAATACATGCATTAGTGACTCTCGGGTGTCATAATTGGTTTGAATCTTGATAATAACTTTATAACAGAATTGCAAAAATGTTCATAGTTCACAAATATTAAATTATTCATATGTTTTCAGGTTATTTTGCCCATTATTAACGACTATAAACTTATATAACCTAAACTAAATTACAGCCAGAAATGTCATGATTATCCGTATTTTGGTTCCTGGCATCTAACAAGTACTAGCGAAAGGGGAAGGAACTCCAGACTAGATTATCCGATGATAAAGACTGCTAACCGTTACATTTTCCAGGTGAGCACGGACATACGCATTAGGTAGCACACCACAGTAATGTAAGCCACAGCTTCGAATGGCCAGGGAGGATTTCTTGGATATAGTGAATATTCTGGATTTAAATGACTGGTTGTCTTTAAAATGCATTTTCAGCATAAAATTTGTTTTTGTGACATCTAATATGATCACTGGCAAATTCGAAAACATGGCCAGAAATCACATGCTGTTGATTATGAATGTCAAGGCCGCCATTTTTTGTAAACATTGCTTTTATACAGCATGCACGGTAAAAAGAAGTCATTTTACAGGGGGGTACAAACTTTTAGCAGTAGCAAAAAAAAACTACAAGGTTGAGGACTAGTTTCTTTGTGATATTTTGCATGTATAGGGAGTTGCTAAAGCAGAGACGGTGTTCCTTTAGCCTGTATATTTGCAGATATTTTTTGCCAGAGGGTCGAAATGTGTTGTTTTGGGTCTCGGGCCAGTGTAGATTTTGGGCTTCAACGGAATGAATTGCAATTTTTTTGACTGCCTGCCCATTGCAGATGGGATAATTTCTTTGTAGATTTGCAATCTTATGTCATATATGTTCTCAACAAAATGTGTTTTCTTTTTCCAGGTTGTGTAGTTTGGTATCAGAATTATTAGACGTATTGCTTGTAGGACATTGACGGCAGGAACTTGAAATTAACTGTGGAGTGCTACCTTAGTTCATTAGTTTCATGATTAATGATTTCAGATATTCTATATAACAAAACGATCTTTATAAAAAACGAGTGAATTATTTTGCAGATATATAGCTCCGTGGTTCTTTAAATAGCACTGTGGGGAAAAAACATCGTCAGAAAACGAACACGCAACTATTGAAAACCATGTAGTTAATTAAAACGATCTATTATCAATCACGACACTTGTATAAAGTTTCATGTTTTGTAAAGTTTTGATTAGCGCTCTAAAGATTTTGTTCATTTATTTAAAGGGAAACAATCAGTCATCAATATCTAGGTGTAATTAGTGTATTTACTCGATAAATATTCCTGAAGGAATTGTTTTTCCCCTTTGTTTTCAATTGATTTTGGTTAGAAAATAGGACAATATTGAGTACGTGCATGACAATTTACAACTTGAACTTACTTTGCTGAAACTAAACAGAACAAGTTCTAGTGATATCGAAGTAGATTGTTTGCCAGGAAAATTATTTGAAAATGTGTTTTGAATAAAAATACTAGTTAATGTCAAGAAACTGTTGTTTTTTTTTTTGTTAAATATAAAAACCGACCATTTAAAGATTGTGTTTCAAGCGTCAAAATGTTACGAGTTTTATTCTTTTTGCTGATTTGGAATTTCGCCAATATCGTTAATTTCGTGCACTGTCAAACATATTCTGACGTTACAAACCTTCGTGCATCACTGCTTACGTCATATAACCCAGATGTTGTTCCTGTAAGTAATTATTCTTCAGTTTTAAAAGTAAATTTATCAGCGACTCTTTTCATGATGCCAGAAGTGGATGCGGTCCGTGGGTCAGTGACAATGGGGATAATTATTGTCCAAGAATGGTTCGATGAAATAATAACATGGACACCGGCTGATCACGGTGGTATAACGTACATTTCTATGAAAAATGAAGATGTCTGGACGCCGCCTTTAACTGTGGCAAATCCGTTTAAATTCATTTTGCTTGGTCAGTCTTGGATGCAAGTTGGATATCAGTACAACGGAAAAGCAAGGTATGCGGTTGGTGACATCATGGAGTTTTCTTGTTCTTTCTACATGAAGTACTGGCCTTTCGATAAGCAAATCTGTTCTATAAACTTCTTTCCGTATGGATACGCGTACAATGAAGTAACGTTCGCTATACCGGGAACGGTGATGAATACAGACTTTTATACGAAGAACGGCGAATGGTATTTAGAGAAGGATTCATTTACATATTCAAAAGACAATGACATTGGATCAACCACTGTGCGGTACAGCTTCCGAATTTCACGGCAGTCATTGTTTTACTTGCTTACGATTATTATTCCCATCAATGGGATAGGTGCCTTAACTTGTTTGGTTTTTCTTCTGCCGAGCGAGTCTGGTGAGCGCGTTAGTTACTCGATCACCATTATGCTGTCACTTGCAGTATTTCTGACGGTCATTTCAGACGACTTGCCAAAGCATTCAGAGCCAATCCCTATCATGTGCGTATACATTCTATTTAACATGGTTGTATGCATCTGTGGTCTCATTATGGTCATTCTAAATTTAGCACTATACCACAGGAGTGAAACCACGCAAATATCGCGATTTTATAAATCACTAGTGAACATTTCATGTCGCCGGAATAAAATCGGTAATGAAAGCTTGGTTGATTCCTCCGATGATTTGATAAAAGCGATTAGTCGGGGGAAACAAGGTACTGCCAAACAGGATTTTAAAAAGAGCAAAACAAGATCTAGAAATAT